CCCCGCCCCCCCCAGGCAGAGCCGAGGGTGGACAGTAGAGAGGAAGGGTTGTGGAGGGAGTAGGTCAGGTTTGGGGGCCTCTCACTCTGCCCCGTTCCACGTGGGAGAGGGCCGTGAAAGAGGCCTCACTGCCATTCTCTGACTGGGAGGAGACCTGGCTGGCCAAAGGTCGATGAAGGCAGAGTGGGCAAGCTTGCCAGCCAGGTGTGGCCCAGAGCAGACCGAGGGCGGCTTCAAGGCGCCTCCTTTCCCACAGCCAGCTTGCCTCTTACCAGCAGTGCGTGAGTTTGAAAGGTGCAAGAAGCCCCAAGTCCCTCGGAGAAGCAGTAGGAGAGTCTTTTTTAAAGTTACTTTAATGGATGTGTTTCTTTCTGATTATAAAATTAATACTATTGACTATGGAAAGGTTGGAATTTCTCTTAGGAAGAGTGTAAGAAAGAAAACAAACCATCATGAACCCCCCCATACGTTTAGGTTTAATCATATGAAATTGTCATTTTGGTTGGTCAAAAATGGTCAGATATCAACAATTTCACATGGATCAGCCAAATATGAGCATTTTGCTGTATTTCCTCAGTCTTTTTTCTACGAGCAAGGACTACTTTGAAAAATGGGGGCTTCTCAGCTTTTGGGGTAGATTATTATTTACATTTTCATGTTCCATTTCTCATCCCAGCCACCCCCAAAATCCAATTATCCAGTTGAATGGACACTAATAATAAAATGAGGCAACTCATTAAGATAAAAATTCTGTAGTAGATTTAAATTTCATACAATGATGAGGATCATAAATATAGGTCCTCAGTTGGCTCTTTTATTTTAAAAGGTAAATTAAAAATGATTTTTGAATTACAGAAACTTCTTAATTACTAAAATTCAAAAGAATTCTTCTCTAGTCTTCACCCCTTTCCCCCTTTGCATTGATTACATTTCTCCTAAGGAAACGTCTGTGAACTGAGTCATTCATTCCACAAATATCCATCCATTAAACACTTGCTGTATGCCACTCACCATTCTGAGTTTTGGGGACAGACTAAAGCCCCTACTGTAATGCAGCTCAGAATCTAGCAGAAGACGGGCCATAAACGACAAATAGAATGAATAAGCATATTATATCATGTATTTTAGGTGCTTTAATGACTAGGGTTGGGGTGCTGGAGGAGGGGTCGCAGTTTTAAGGGCCACATTTGGACAAAGACCTCAAGCAGGGGCAAGCTACCCAGTTATGTGGGGGAGGAGCAAGCAAGGCAAAGGGAGCAGCCTCTTGTATGAGGAACAGCAAGGAGGCCTGTGGCTGACCTGAGCACTGGAGAGAGAGAGAGGAGTAGGGATGGGAGAGGGTCAGCATCAAGGGCCCTGAGACCGGGGCCACTGTGGGGGGTGGGACTTTTCCTTGCAGTGAGACAAGGAGCCACTTGGAGGGACTTGGTGGGGCATGAGGTGACCTGACTTTGCTCCTCTCGCTGCTGTGTTGAGAGCCAGCCTGGGCTCCGGGATAAAGCAGGGAGCTGACCAGAGGCTAGTCTAGCTGTGTGGGTGAGGAGGAGATGATGGGGCCCGGACTGATAATAGCAGTGGAAGCCACCAGAAGTGGCTGGAGTCTAGGTGTCCGATGCAGGCAGAGCTGATGGGATCGGATGGAAGGGCTGGATAGAGAAGGGTAGAGAAACAGAGGAGGCGCAGTTTACTCCCGCATGGCCTGATCTACTGGACAGACAGAGATGGGGAAGGCTGGGCGGGGAAAGGGCAGGAACTTGATTTGGGCCATGTGGAGTTCAAGGTGGTAGGCATCCCGGAGGAGCTGGCTATAGCTGTCAGCCAGCAGTTGGGTATAGTTTGGAGGATGCAGGAGAGGGCTGGGCTCCAAGTGTTTATTTGAGACACCTTGACGTACAGTTTGTATTTAAAGTCATGAGGCAAGGGACCAGGTCCAAGGACTGAGCCCTGGGACCCTCTCACATAAAGAGGTCAGGGAGAAGGAGCAGCCCCTGAGGTCAGAGGAACACCAGGAGAGCTGTGTGCCTGAAGCCAGGGAGAGGGAGGGTTTCCAGGAAGTGGGAGAGAGTGACCCCTGGTCAGAAGCTGCAGCCTGAGCATGAGACCCCACCACTGGAGGTCACTGGTGACCTTGGCAAGAGAGTTCTCTGGCCAAGGAGGAGAATCTCTGGCCCACCCTCTCCTGCACCCTCCAAACTATACCCAACTGCTAAAAAAAAAAAAAAAGCCCCTCTGGGCAGAGAAATTAGAAAAAGGCAAACGCAGTTCAGAGTCCCATGGCTGGGCCAGCAGAGGGTAACTGACTGTCCCCCAGCCCAGCACCCGTGTGCGGGGCCCCAGCTAGCCAGCCAGTCAGCGCCAGCACACTGGGCTCTCAGCGCGCCGAGCAGGAGTGACTGTGGGCGGTGTCCCGGATCTGGACACCTACAAGTTCCCTGTCTCTAGAGGGCGCCCGCGCGCACCCCGATGCCACACACAAAGGATCCTCAGAGAGAGGGCCAGAGGGCTGAGAGTGGCCGCAAGATTGGGCTCAAGGAATCAGCTCATTTCCTCTGCAGGACGGCTATTTCTATCCTTTAGAGAAGCCACCAGCCTTTCGCTGTGTGGCCCAGTGCGACCTGTGACTGTGTGTCAGGATTTGTTGTGAGCCCGTGGTTAATTGGAGGTTTGGTGGGGAGGAGGAGGTTTTTCTCACGTTACTGAAGCTGTGTCTCTTCTGCACAGGGGCTCTGACTTCTGGGCTCTGAGCAAGGCGCTGCTAACTGAGCCACCTTCAGACACACCCCATTCCCCGGGACTTAGTCTGTGCCAGTTGAGGCACAGAGGGTCCTTGCTCACCCTAGACTCTTGCTAGTTTCCCTTTGTGTGTTCCCCTTATTTTTGTTTTCCCCCTGATTTTTTTCTCAATTAAAAAAATTCTAGAGTAAAACCTGCCCATCGAATAGAACAATATTAGAAGGAGCCAGAGTAAGGGGTAGTAGGGCCCCTCCCCCAAGCTCTACTTAACCCGGGAGGTGACCACTGTTACCTCTTCTATGCATTTCAGGGCAGTTCAGCATCCGCAACCCCCCCCCCCCCCCCCCCCCCCCCCCCCCCCCGCCCCCGCCGAGTCTCTGCAGAGGCAGCGGGCACCATGCAGTCTGTCCCTCTGCTTGCTCTTCCACCAGCAGCCTGTGTTGGGCTTCATTCCACATTCTGTCCATTCAGCCTGCTGCCTTTTCCCCAGAGCAGTGGCGGCCCCCATCAGTACTCCTGGTCCATTGCTATTGATTTAGGTGGTTACTGGTTTGAGGTTGTTAAAAACAATGTTCTTCTGTCGAACCTCTTTGCTTCTGTGTCTTCCTGCTTTGGAGAAGATTATATCCAACTTCCTACCAGTGGAATTTCTGAGTCCAAGGTTAGGGACCTTTCGTTTTGAGTCATGCTGCCAGATTGGCCTCTTGAAGTGCGCCCGTTTGCCTGCCCACCAACCCTAGGACCTGTGAGGGCATGCTTGTTTCGCTTGTTTCCCCCAACACTGGGCATTACTGGTCTTAGAGCGTGCCAGTCTGGAAGGTGGTAAAAGCTTCCCACCTGATGGCATAGTTTAGCTGACTGCCTTAGACCACGGAGAGCATTGTTTCTCTCTTTAGAAGGCACTGTTGGGTGGGCAGCTTCAATCAGGAAGAGAGGCCCGGGGGGCCAGACCCCAAGGTCCTGGCTCTGAGTAGCTGCTGCCCGCTGGAGGCCCTTGACGGGTCTCTTGTTCTTGTTGGCTCACATCTAAAAGACACCAGAAAGTCTTTGATCGAGTCTAGCCATGGTTCTGTCTAGGTCTGGTCTAGGTGCATAGTTCTAGCAAGGTGCTGAAAGTTTTTTGACCACAACTTGGAGCTGGAGATGAGTGTATCACAGTGACTGGCACGTGATAGTGAAAGTTGCACAAAACAGTACCCCCCCCATCACATGTGGCATGCTGATATCTTTCTCCTTTATTTTTTTAAATGCTGGTCCTGAGAACTGGCACCTCTCTGGAGTTCTGAGGAGCACATCCTGGGGTTGGGGGATCTGCAGTGGCCTTGGAGCCTTGGAAAATGCCCTCTACAGAGAAGTCCTTCGATGGGGCCCTCAGACTGGGTTGTGAAGGGGAAGCTGCCCAGGAGACCCTGGCTCAGCTCTCCCAGGGCTTTTCCCCTTAGGCTGCTCCAAACCTGTGTCCCTGTGTGGGGTACACAGTTTCATCCAAACTGAAGTGCAGGCCAAGCCTCGGCTGTCTCCCTCCTGTCACACACTGGGATGAGGGGCACAGGAACAGGGTAGAAACCTGGAAGGAGGGCCTGGAAAGCCCTGCCCCCCCAACCCCGGCCCCCTGACAAAGCTTCTGTGAAGGGTCCCTCCTCCCCTCCCTCTGCCTTCTGACTTCCTCTTGCTTTAGGTTGAAGGGGTGGCCCTTCTCTAATTACAGTACTTGCCTGGCCTAATTACAGCCTGGGCTAATTTGTTAATGGTTTTGGGAACTGAGAGCCTTTGCCTTGGGCAGTATCACAGCCCCTGGGTACATGCTGGGGCCTTTGCCAAGGAGAGCAGGGTGAGGGAATGTGAGTGGCCCCGGAGGCCCCGTGAGCAACATGGGCCATCTGAGGAGCCCCATGTCCAGTTGGCGCACACACATCTCCAACCTATGGCTCACTGTCCACAGGTTGTCATTGTGGGTCTTTCCCTTCTCCAGGACTCTCAGGAGACCCTGATACACGGCACCAGGCAGGAACTTGCCATTTTCATTCTAATGAAACAAAAGGTCTTTAATGAAATGCCTTAAAATTAAAAAAAAATACTTCTGGTTTTCCTTTTCATAAAAGCCGTATCTGTTTGCAGCAGAAACTTCAGGAAATACAGAAAAGGGGAAAAAAAACACCATGACCCCACCCCAGTGACTCATGACCCCAAATGTGTTAACATTTTGGTGGCGGTGTCTCATGACTGGGCCCTTTGCTCTTGTCTGACTCATTGCATCGTCCACCCAGGGAAATCCCACCTGGCCATCGTGCAGAAGGTGAATAACGAGGGTGAAGGTGACCCCTTCTATGAGGTGCTGGGTCTGGTCACCCTGGAGGACGTCATTGAGGAGATCATCAAGTCTGAGATCCTGGACGAGTCGGATATGTACAGTGAGTTCCAGTCTTTCCATTGCCCGGAGCCCCTTTCCTGCTCATGCCCTAGGTGTCCCTAGGTGGGAAGGCCACAGTGCAGGGATGTGGGAGGCCCGGCCCCCTGAGGCCCAGGAACTGGATGCCTCACGCTGGCCAGGGTGAGCAGCGGGCTCACCCCTCGGATCAGTGAAAGCAGGCCACCTTTGTCCCCCCTGGCCTTCGTGCCTTGGCATCGAGCCAGGGACCCCGCCTTGATGCAGACACTGCTGCTTGTGTGTGGAAGAGGGGACTGCAGAGCTGGGAGCTGGCGGGCAGGTTCTAGTCTGTTCCAGAGGCATCAGGGACAGTGTTCTCAGTTCTAGATTCTTTCTCTCGCAGCGGACAACCGAAGCCGGAAACGAGTATCTGAGAAGAACAAACGTGACTTCTCAGCCTTCAAAGATGCTGACAATGAGCTCAAGGTGAAAGTTTCACCTCAGCTACTTCTGGCTGCTCATCGCTTCCTGGCCACGGGTAAGAGGAAGAGGAGGGCCCTCAGGTGTTGGTGGGATACAGTCCCGGAGGGGGTCTTCTGGGCCTCTGGCTACTTCCTCCCATGGCACAAGGGCTGTGGCAGGTGAAGGGTGCAGGGAAAACATGGCTGCCTCTGAAAGGGGGTGAGGCGGCTTCCCTCCATCCCTGGGGTGCTCCCTGTGGTTTGTTTTCTCTGTTGATGGGTTGTCATGGCAAACTCCTAGGAAGCATTCAAGTTCTGAAAATAACCACTGGAAGAGGGGGGAGGCCAAAAAAAAAAGAACCACTGGGAGTACCTGGGGTGGGCACTGGGGAGCCCCTGGATGCTGGGGAGGGGGAGGGAGGAAGAGGCCCTCCCACCTGCTGTGGGCCCATAGCGCTTACCTGACCCATGGCCTCAGAGCCTGAGTCCAGCTCTGTTCTCGTCACTCCCCCTTCCCTCTGCCTGCACACCCCATACCACGCTGGGGCCAGCAGGGCTTCACCTCTAGGCCGGTGACAGTCCTCTCTTCTCACCCCTGACTCAAAGCCCCTTTGGGGACCTGGGTGATTGATTTGAAAAGCTCCTGCCTCTTCCCTTCGTCCCCCCAAATCTGACTTCCTTCCCAACTCTCACTTGCTAAAGCGTGTTAATTCTCTATTTTTCCTGCCAGGATATTGATGATGGTGCTAATGATAATAATGATGGTAACATTTATGAAGCACTTTCCATATGCCAACTATGTGTCTAAGTGCTTTACATGTATTACCCCTTTAACCTACCATGACCCTACCAAGTGTATTTTGTTGTTGTTTTGTTTTTTAAGGAGTCTCTCTACCCAACATGAGGCTCTAACTTGTGACCTCGAGATCAAGAGCCATGTGCTCCACCGACTGAGCCAGCCCGGCACCCCAACCCTATGAAATTTTTTCTTTTTTTTTAAGAGTTAGTTATTTATTTCAGAGAGAGACAGAGGGAGAGAGCGTGAGCGGGGGAGGGGCAGAAGGAGCAGAGGGAGAGGAAGAGACTCTCGATCTGGCTGCAGAGCCCGATGCAGCCTCGATCTCACCACCCCGAGATCATGACCTGAGCGGAAACAGAGAGTCAGATGCTTAACCGATTGAGCCACCCAGGCGCCCAACCCTATGAAGTTTTTAATCCCATTTTTCAGATGAGGAAACTGAGACACAGGTTAAGTAATTGGCCCAAGGTCATGCACTGTCAGCGCAAGAGCCGCTGTTCCAGCCCAGGCAGGCAGACCCGAGTCTAACCAGTCTGGATCTAAGGGGTGCCGCTTTCCCACAGAGGTGGAGAACCGAAGGGAAGGGTGGCCTGGGCAGTGAGCAACCACAGTGACTGTGTTCCTGGTGCTGCCCGGCCAGGGCCCCCTGTGAAGTCTTCTTCTGTCTTCCTACAGAGGTTCCCCAGTTCAGCCCCTCTCTGATATCAGAGAAAATCCTGCTTCGGTTGCTCAAGTACCCAGATGTCATTCAGGAACTCAAGTTTGACGAGCACAACAAATACTACATCCGCCATTACCTGTACACCCGAAATAAGCCGGCCGACTACTTCACCCTCATCCTGCAGGTGAGCAGCCTGCTCCACGCCTGCCCTCCTGTGCCCACTCTGCCCTCTTCACCGGCTGAGACGGCTGGGGGACGCAGGGCTTTCCTGCGTGTGGCCTGCCCCCGAGCCCCTGCTCCCCCTTTGCCCATCCTCTTCCTGAGAGGCCACCCCGGAGCCTCCAGGTCAGGGCCCCTGAGCTCGTCAGGGCTCTGGAACCGGCTCTTCCTCACCCGCACTTCTCCCTCTTGCCTCGTCCTTTTTTCCCCCAGTGGAGCTTTCCTTCTCAGCCTGTTTGTCACCCTGACCCTGTGTTCTTCCAGGGGAAGGTGGAGGTGGAGGCCGGGAAGGAGAACATGAAGTTTGAGACAGGCGCCTTCTCCTACTACGGGACCATGGCCCTGTCGTCGCCCACCTCTGGTGAGTCGCTAGGCTGCCTCCGTGCTGCCCTCCAGCATACCTGGTTGGGGGGGGCGGACCATGAGGGGTAAGGACGTGTCGGGGAGCCCCGGAAAGCTGACGGCATGTGGTTGTGATAGGAAGCAGGAAGTCCTGACTAGCTTCGGAGCAGGGAGGATGTACGACAGCAGACTGGGCCACCTGGGCAAGTAGCCGTAGCAGCGGGAGGGATGAGAGAAGGCAGGTGGACGGAGGCTACAGGGTCTTGCTCACGGAGACGGGGGCAGGGCAATTGAGGTAGGGAGTGAGGGCGTGGTGTCCAGGGTGTCCATGGCCGGCAGTCAGGCCGAGGCCTGTTTACCAGGCAGGGTGCAGATGGGCTTGGCTTTTCAGGGGGCTTAGCCACTGCCTTTTGGTTAAGGGCTGGTTCTGATGGCATAAAGGGACTTGGGGCAAAGAGTGGACTGGACACACCCTCTAAGAGAGATTGTGGGAAGTCCAGGGAAGGACCGCTCTGGTCACTGTGGTGCTTTCTGCTTCTCTAGTCCTGGGGGGCTCAGGCTCCCGTTGCCAGGGGGCCTTGTGGCCAGAGTGGGCACCAGATCAGCTCCTTGCTAGTTGCACGGCCCCTCTGAGCCTTGAGCGGGGCCCCGGGTTGCTGCAGGCTGGAAAGTGAAAGTCCACTCTGTGGCTGGAGGACGGGCCACACACTGAGGTGTGTGTGTGGCTCGTGGAGAGCCTCTGTGCCGTGCCTGTTGCTGTCCTTTGACAAAGAGGACCCTGTGTGCGGGGGGCCAGGGCACTCCTGTATACTGATACGGCTCAGCTTATCCACTGGCGTGACACAGCTCTGCTCCTCTCCCAGCATGAGCAGGCTTCAGGAAGGAAGCAGTGGGGAGACCAGGCTCCAGAGCTGGGTTTTGGCGCAGGGGGCCCCTGCTTGGATGCCTCCGACCTAGGGAGGACTTCTCGGCCCCTCCCAAGAGCACCTCCCGCCAGCCAGCCAGCCAGCCGGGGGAAATCTTGTCTAGGAGGGCACACGGTCATGGCACATTCCTTCCAGGCACTTTTTCTCTGCAGCGATGCCTCAGAAGCTTGGGCCAGGGTCCTTGGCTCTATCCTTTGACCTGGAGGTGCTCAGGTCCCACTTGTAGTGGCCAGAAGGGAGAGATGACTTCTGGGGGGGGGGGGGCGGGGGGCTGTGGCTTTACTGTGGGAGCCTCTGCCCCTCTTTGAGCAGGGCTCATTGGTCTGCTCCCTCCGCATCAGAGCCATGTCCCCCTTTCCATTGTGCCCCCTCTCTGCCCAAGGGAGACTGGCCCCCAGCAGGTCTGCTCCATCCTGTTCCTGTGGCTCCATGTTCTGCCTCCTCACCCTACCCATCGCTGACCTTTTCCTCTTTTGCTCCAGTGCCTTCAACCCAGGTCGGGTGTCCGCCTGGCAAGCGGAACTCCCTGCTCTCCTGGCTCTCAGGTAACACGGCATGGCTGGAGAAGTTTGCACTGCCACCTATCGCCTGAGCCCACATACCACAGCTCTGTTAACCTCACCCAGCAGCCACTGGAGCTCCCCACTGGCATCTAGGGCCATCCCACCTGTTCACACTTGTGGGCCAGCCTAATTTGCACCGGCTCTGCCTGGCCTCAGGCCCAGTTACTGGGTGGCTTTGCCCTGGTCCTGGAAGGGCTTCTCCAAAGGTCCTCAGTCCTTGAGAAGACACAGACACACGTGCACATGTGCGCGCGCACACCAGCACACAGCTAGAGTGGGGAGGGAGGGTTGCTTCTGGCCAGGCCAACTGAGCCCAGCAGTTCCGCACCCCCCTGATCAAGGCCACTCACAAACATCAGGATGCCTTGTCATCTCATCAGCTTTCTCTAAAAAACTTTCCTCCTTTCTTCACAGGCTTTGCTCTTCATTCTGTTGCTGCTGGTGTCTGCCCGCCAGGGGGAGGCAGCCGCCGGGCATCAGAAGTGCGGCCCCGGGCAGACGGCCCCGTGTGAATGCTGTCTCTGCACTTGGCTAGCTAAAATGCTTCCGGGAGCTGACTTCCTCTCAGTCTTTCGTTCCCTCTTGTGTAATGGGAACAATAGATGTGCCCACTTCTTAGAATTGTCAGGAGCAGTGAGAGACTGGGTATGAAATGTTCGGGTAGAGCTCAGTTTTTATTTGTCTTTTTCTCGATTACAACTAAACTGTGACATTCCAGTCAGAAAGTATTGAGGAAAAGGCCCAATGCCACATGCTGTTTCTGGCCTTTGATACGTCACACTCCTGAGCCTTAGCCCAGGATTGCTGGCAACTGTGTTGGTTGACTCCGTTCACGGGACTCCCGTCCCACTTACATGGAGGCGGCAGGGGGTGGCAGAAGGTGCTGGTCTCCCCATCAGAATTCTGGCCTGGCCCTGAGCCCTGAGGAGGTTAAGTGCACTTATAAGTGCCTTTGAGCTCCAGTCTCGGTGTGTAACTTAAAGAAGCTCCTGGGGCCCCAACAGTCCTAAACACCTATCACCAGAGTCCATCATTTCCCATTTTATATTTGTACAGCTGGCTTTTTTTCTCTCTCTCCACTGTACCAAAGCACACTTTTCTCTTGATTCTCTTTTAAAAAAAAAAAAAAAAGGTAAAAAAGTGACTTAGAAGTCACTCGTCCCTTTCAAACAGCCAGCTTTTGGTTGTGATAGGAAGTGGGAAGCTGCTAACGGCCTTTGAGTGGGTGACGTCTATGGACCATGTTGGTCTTCCTTGGCCAACACCTCAGCCCCCCTTCTCTCTTCTGTGCTTGCTCTTGTTTCATACTGGCCAGGAGTTTATGCATCCATGGCCTGGATCCTGCTGTTTTTACCTAATACAGGAGCAGAGATGCTTTTCCATCAGCTTTCTTGTTTGAGCCACACAGTGTTCCCCCAAGCACACGTGCCTTCATTTGTTATCCCCCCTTATGGACAGTCATTGGGGTCTGTGTTCTAAATAACACCGTGATGTAAACCTCTTTATGAAAAAACTTTCTCTGTGTTTAAGATTGTGTCCTTAGGATATCCTTTCAGAAATGGAATTAGCAAGTCATTTTTTGCACATTTATTATTCTGTTTCATTTTTATTTTATTTTTTAAGGTTTAAATTAATTAATTAAAATTTTTTTATTTTTTTGAGAGAGCGAGTGAGTGAGCACAGGGGAGGGGCAGAGGGAGAGGGGGAAAGAGAATCTTTTTTTTTTTTTTTAGATTTTATTTATTTATTTGAGAGAGAGAATGAGAGATAGAGAGCATGAGAGGGAAGAGGGTCAGAGGGAGAAGCAGACTCCCCACTGAGCAGGGAGCCCGATGTGGGACTCGATCCCGGGACTCCAGGATCATGACCTGAGCCGAAGGCAGCCGCCTAACCAACTGAGCCACCCAGGCACCCGGGGAAAGAGAATCTTGAGCAGGCTCCATATCCAGTATGGAGCCCGACGCTGGGCTCCATCTCATGACCCTGAGATCATGATCTGAGCCGAAATCAAGAGGCAGATGCTTAAACCAGCTGAGCCACCAGGGCGCCCCAGATTTTATTTTTAAGTAATCTCCACGCCCAGTGTGGGGCTCAAACTCACAACCTGGAGATCAAGAGTCACAAGCTCCACAGCCTAAGCCAGCCAGGCTTCCCTCATTGTTCTGTTTCAATCATAAAAGCAATATAGCTTATTTAGAAAATTGAGAAAAGGGAAAAAAGTCTTAAGAAAATTAAGAAGTTTTGGGGTGCCTGGGTGGCAGAGTTGGTTAAGTGACCAACTCTTGGTTTCAGCTCAGGTCATGATCTCAGATCATGGGATCAAGGTCTGTGTTGGGCTCTGTACTCAGCGTGAGTCTGCTTGAGATTCTCTCCCTCTGCCCTTCCTGCTAGCGCTGTCTCTCTCTCTCCATCTAAAATAAATAAATAAAACTTTAAAAAAAAAAAGAAAATTAAGAAGTATCATAATTTCATTATTCAGAAACAAAGGTTTCATATTTTGGTGTATTTCTTTTTAGGGCCTCTATTTTTAAAAGGCCATATCACTAATTTGTGTTGTTTCTATATTCAATTTCTGGAGTGTTAATAAGCATTAATTAAAAGCATTCCATCACCATCCAAATGATTAATGTGAAATATTAGGTAATAGCCATAGTATTTGTGTTTCTTTTCTAGAACTTAATCAGAGGTGTTACTTGAGTTAGGATAAGTGACACAAACACACACATACACACGATCCTCTTAATGATTGTACACTGCCCAATAATAGACTATCCAGACTATATTTTCCTAGTTTTAGGAAGGAAACTCAAAGACAGGGTGTTACTTAGTTCAGTCTCAGTTAAAGCTGTATTGGTCACTCAGTCACCCAGATTCATTATGTTAGCTCTCTTCGAGTTGTTTGTTAAAATAGCTAACTTAGTAGTTAGTTAGTAACTTAGTGCTCAACTGAGTAAATAAGCTTAGTCCACTTCCTGTTTGCTTAAAAGAAGCCAGCATGCCTTCACAATTAACTTCTTGTGTGTTTCATTGTTTTCTAAGTGTTCTCAAAAATAAGAGCTAATGATGCACAGTATGTGTACAGTTCCTTTCTGAAAATAAGGAGTCTGCTCCTTCCTCATTTGCGGTTGGGGCATCCCCTGGAGCTGCAGGAGGCCTTGTTGCCCCTGGGGGAGGAGGCGCCTCCACCACCACCCCAGGCTTTGCCTCAGGGCAGGGGAACTTGGACCCGGCTGGAGGAGACGGCCGGTGTGGGAGGCCTGGAGCTCTGGGAGCATGAGGCTCCTGGGAGAAGGCCCTGCTGCCCCTGTCGCCCTTGTCAGACTGACGGGGCTGGGGCCAGCAGACACACGTGGGCAGGACTGTTCCGCATAGAATGGGTCTTGTGCAGAACACACTTTTGACCTCTTGAGAGCAGGTTAAGATGTGAGTAGGGCGTCCTGTTGAGAGGTCTGTGTGGATGCGTCGTGAGAGGGTACAAGTGTACGTTCTTCCTTTTAATATATTTGACACGTATGTAGCGTATGTCCCTTGATAACAAGCTGCTGTGGAGACAGGGACAGTGCCTGGTCTCCCGTGGAGGGATGATCACTGTGTTGCCCTTGACTGATGACTTGTTGGGGACATGAGGGCTTCTGTAGACATAAATTTTGTGGTTTTGGTTTTTGTTTTCTGCTTTGGTAGGCTTTTTAATACTTACTGCACAACACCTTAAACAAACTAACTCATTTGCTTTGATGAGGTCAGACCTGCAGTTGGAGCTTGTTTGTCCTTAAGAACTGTTCCATTCCGGTGGGGGCCCCGCTCCCACGTGTCCACGGGACAGGTTAGACAAGAGGCTGTGAGGGGCACCGGGGGCTCCTGGCCTGACCGTGTGTCTCTCCCCACAGACCACTCCCCATCCCACCCCGCCACCCTCAGCCGCTCGGCCTCCCTTAGTTACCCGGACCGCACGGATCTCTCGAGCACAGCCACCTTGGCAAGCAGCACCAACCAGTTTGGCAGCTCCATCCTGGGCCAGTACATCTCCGACTTCAGTGTCCGGGCGCTCATGGACCTCCAGTACATTAAGGTGGGTGATTCCTGCGTCTCTCCCTCTGGCCAGCGCTGTCTTCCTCGTCCTGGGCATTTGGATCACTCTGCCTCAGGAATCAGCAGCTTCTTTCTTTTTCATCCACCACACACAGCACAGAGGGCCCGGACCCGAGACGTGTGTCCTCCTTATTCGTGCTCCTCACTCTCTCTAGCTGGTCACATCCTCTCTTCTGGACCCCCAGCCCCAACCCTGGCTAGCACTGTTTCCCTGGGTCTTGGAAGGTTTGCCTCTCAGTCCCAGCTCTCTGTGAACCTCATCCCTTCCTCCTGCAGATCACTCGGCAACAGTACCAGAATGGGCTGCTGGCCTCACGCATGGAGAACTGCCCTCAGTTTCCCCTGGATGGCTGCACCATCTGCACAGAGAACTTAGCCGGGAAGTCCGAGTTGCCTGTGGTAGATGAGACCACAACTCTTCTCAATGAGCGTAACTCTTTGCTGCACAAAGCTTCCCATGAGAGCGCCATCTGACAGCAGGGCCCGGGGTCCCCCGCCAGCCCCGCGGGGGTCTCCCCAGTGGGCCCACATGAAGATAGGGAGGCTTTTAGGCCAGAAGAGGGACAGATAGCCTGTCTAACTGAGCAGCCAGATGGCCCCCAGAGTGTGGGGAGTTTTGGCCTCTGACAGGGACCTCTGAATAGCTCCAAATTAGCGGCTGCCCAGCCCTGGACTGGCAGGGCAGTGGGCCAGCTACCATGAGCAAGGCTGTTTTTTACTGAGAGAATTTCTGAACTAGGCTCACTGCTCCTCTTTTTAAATATTGTTTGGGGAAAGGAATGGGGAAGGGAAGACAGGGTTAAGGAACTTTATTTAAAACAAAAAAAAATGTTTTTTCCACAAAAACTTTAATGAAAAGGGGTAGGGTTTCTCACCCCGGGAAGCAATAGCCATAATCTGCTCCCGGCCATGACCTTCTGGCTTATGTCCCTGATTCAGGGAGCCCACTCCTCCTCTTCCTCCTCCTCCTCTTCGTCCTCCTCCAGAGATGCTATCCCAGAGGCCCGCTGGAGGAAGGTTTTCTCTTGGGAGGAAGACAGTTCCTTCCAGGAAGCAAAGAACCAAATAGCGCTGAGAACAACTGCCTGGACACATGCACTGAGGTTTGTCTGACGTCGCTGAGGCCTAGGGATTCTGGGTAACTGTGATGAGGGACATGGTACTCCCAGCTACAGAGAGGAGCCTGCCTACTCCTGTCAACCGCTGGATCCTGGAATTTCCTAGGACTCTGCTGATGGGCTCTCCTGGTGAGTTGGGCCAGGCTGAGGACTCTCACCCTTGTCTCTACTCGTTTGACTCAGAGTGTTAAGCAGGGTCTGACACTTTTAAGATTGCTTACCCCTGCTTCCCAGGCCCTGCCCTTACTTTTACCAAAGGTTTCCCCCTCGGTGGGAGAACATCTACATTACGGGTGACTTGTCTGAGATACTCCTTTCAGTTCCAGGAGGGAATCTCGTCACGGGCATCTGTGTTGGTAGCAATTAAGACCATCCCCTTTCCCACCCTGCAGTGAAAGTCAGGTGTCAGCCACTGACCTATGAGTCCCCTCTTTTCAGACTCCCTACTTCTCATCCCAAAGCCCGTTGCCTCTTGGGGATTGAGGACAGCAGGACACATAGGAAGCCAACCTAAGCAGGTTCTTCATGCCCTCCTTTCCTCTGTGGCTGAGGTTTACCCAACCTTGTTCACACACTTAAAAAACCCAGGAAAGGATGTTTCCACCTAAAAGACACACAACTGGCAGCCCTGTTGCCCCCATCTTTATAATCCTAGCCTGAGTTGTCATCCTGGCCCTTGCTGAAGCTAGTGGTACTGGATCCTGAGAGCTCCCCCCCTACCCACATGAAATTCTGCCCCAGTGCCTTTTCCCTGGGGCTGAATGAGGCCCTGCTGCAGAGCTCCAGGCTTGCCACTGTTGGGGAGGCTGTGGGACTAAGGTCCATGTTGGCCCTTTTGTCGGGTGGAAAGGTTGCTGGGGGCCCAAGATCAGGCAGGGGAGACTCTGCACACTTTCCACCTAAGTGGTAGTTATTGGCCCTTTCCTCAGCCAGTGACTTCTGTCACCCCAAGTGCTCTGTTCTTCAGGCACCTGGAGAATCCTAGCTTTTGGGACCAGGAAGTGTCTGCACCAAGTGTACTTGCCCCTGGATGGTTCTGAAGTCTCCCCTAGTCAGAGAATTTATTCCTCGAAGTCTGGAGAGAAGGTGGTGACACCCATGGGTTCTCAGTCATGAGGAAAAAAACCCACTGGACCTTTATTCCCTGGGGGGGGAAACCCCTCAGTTTTCTACAGGAGCAGCTTGCTTTCCGAGTTCACATGGGAGCTTGCAAAGCTGTGTTCCTGAGAGACCTGAGTGCCAGGTGGGGCAAACCACATTGGCCTGAACCAAGTGAGTGTGTGAAGTAAAAGGAGCAGGTGCACACACTTCCACAGCTACCTCTTTGCACACACGGTTACCACCAACAGATGGTCCTCCCTTTCCCCACTTATAATCATTTCTTGCAGAGGGTCATAATTATCTCCAAATATTACTGGTCCGATGACTTCCTCCTCCCAGTGCAATTTTTCACTTCCTATTCCAACCTCTGGTTCCTGGGCCGAGCCGTACCCTGGAACTGGCCCACCCCTGCGTGTCTTCTCATGTAAGGGAGACTGTCGCAAATGGCCTCCAAATGGGTAGGCAAGTCACAGCCACCGTAGCGAATAACTCATATTTATTTTGCATAAGATTTTAATTTGTATATTTTTGTGATTTATTTTGGCATTGTTATGAGTTTGACTCTCGGGGAGTTTTGTTGTTATGACTCTTGTGTCTTTTGTCACAAGACAATGATAATATTTGCTAAACAATATATGGAATTTATTTTTGATTGGTAATAAAAAATGAAATAGGAAGTCTTGGTGAGTGTACAATTTGCCTGTTTGAGTTCTGTCAGTATTCAGCACCTGTCGTAGAGATGGTGGCTGTGGTTGGCTGTCACCTATGACAGGGCAAGGGGCAAGTATTCTGGAACTGTTTTAACAGAAATTTACAAAATATATATCATCAAGGCTGTTGTCCCAGGAGCTAGAGAGTAGCAGCTGCTGTGAGATGGATGGGGCAAGTGTGCTCAGCTGCCACAGTTAGGAATTTGTAAAAATGGACACCACAGTCTTCTGCCTGCAGGTACCAGACGGGGCGGTTAGAGGGGACAGATAGCCCCTCCTCTCCCCCCTGGGGGCTGAAGGAGAAAGGAGCCTGATCCAACAGTATGATCGCCTTGCTTCATAACATGCAGCTGCTTCTTTGTCCTTGCTTATGAGCTGGTACTCATGCAGTGCCCATAGGTACTGTGGCTACGGTGTGTAATAGAGTGTGCTGGGGCCAGGGCCCAAGCAAGCCAGGCTTACCAAAGCAGACAAATTGAGGCTAATGTTTAAAAAAAGGGATGCACTTAGGGAGAAAAAGGACATTGTAGATAAAATAACAGATGCAAAAGCAGGTGGACACGAGAATAAATTTCATCTGACCATATGTTCCACACATGGGTAAGCCCCTGCTACATGCCAGGTGCCATCAACCCCGCAGTGAGTGTAGTGAGGAAGAGTCTCTGAGGGAGACAGTCACACCACGACCTTTTGATTTCCTTTCTCTTCCACATGGAACACTTCTCCCAAGTCTTTGTGAGGCTCACCCCCTGACTTCATCTAAGCTTCCGTTCAAATGTCACCTCCTTGGAGAAGACTTCCCTGGTCAGCGCATCTAAAACAGCATGGCTCCAATCCCTCTGTCCATTTCCTTATCTTGCTTTGTTTTTCTCCACAGCACTTATTGCCAGATATAAAATGAGGATTTGTATATTGTGTGTTGTTCCCACACTAGAACCTAAGCTCTGGCAGGGCAGGGCCTTTCTCATTCCCACATAGTCCCAGCACTAGAGTGGTACCTGGTACATTGCAGGAAATACTTGTTGAATGAATGAATGAATGGGTCTTACAAAAAGGTGAATACTGGATGCTATTAGGGAAGAGCACATAGCTCCCATAACCTTGACCCAACCTAGTCAAGATGGTCAAGGAAGACCAGCTGGAGTAAGTGATACTTGCAGACTTGAGAAATAAGCAGGAATTAGCCAGTGAAGTCACAATAGTTATGAGTTTAAAACTCAAGAATAAGTATTTAGGTGAAACATGGAAATGTCTTGAACCAAATGAGCAGTAAGGAAAATCGCCCAGGGAGGGTCAATGAGGGACCTGAAGGTCAAGTGGCACGTGTCTCCATTGATGCAATGACTACCCTGGGGATGGGGGTAAAGAATGGTGCAGAGCCAATGAAGAAAGAAGCTGGAGAAGTACTGTTGAGGCCTCTCTTGTTAACAGAAAATCGCTCCTTGAGCAGCTTTGCCCTACTGGATTCTTTCTGTCTTTGGGTATCCACAGTTTAAATGACCATTTGTGTTTCCAAGTGCGATCCAGTTGTCCTACCCAAAGATTTTCTCCAAAAAATGAATTACTGGTTGTTTTCCAAGGGCACCTGAGACCAGATCCATACGGAGTTTTTCCTGTCTTTGCTCTGGAACTGTTCTTTGCTAATTAGTAACTTTTCCAGGCATATAACTTTCAAGGATGTCATCCATTCTATTTTAATGTCAGCATTTTATCTGGACTTGGAGGCAGAAGTGTGAACTAAAGGGGCTGAATCCATAATTTTTTTTCTTCAAAGGAGGCATGCTGAGCCAGTGCAAAGGCTCAGTAGAGTCATTATTGCTTCTGCTGGTGGCTTATTCTGTAATCCGCAAGTGAGGCGCAGCATCCTCTAGATAATAAAAACTGAAAACGTGGGAGACATGGTTGGCCTAGTCACAGCGCTGAATTTTTAAAGTTGAAGAGACATTCTTAGCATCCTTTGAAGAGTTTTTCCACAAAGTATTTTTTCTTTTGGTCATTTGCCATGGATTTGCTCATTTTTGCACATTGCATTCCACACATTTTACTTAATTGTGGCCACAGTGCCTATACTTTTTCTTATTATTTTCATGACCTAGCACATGTATTTCCATAGACTTTATGAAGATTTTTAAATGACATGAATATGAGCACCCTGATCAAAAGTCTACTTTTGTTAGGGAATTTGAAAATACATAAAAACGTAAAGAAAATACAAAAACAATCTGGATCCCTGTAGAAAAAAGCCTTGTTCAGTTTGTCTATTTCCTTCCAATCATATAGAGATCATACACAATGGGTGAAAAACATTCCATCCTGTCAAGACCGCCTCCCGGGCCGGTCTTGTCTTCTAAATAACTCTCTAGTAAGGATCCTCTTGAATAGTTCGTGTTGTTCCTGAGGAAGTATTTTTCGAAGGATTATCTGCTAGAAGTGGAGTGACCAGGTAACAGTAATTTCTGACAGAGCTGCCCTCTGCTAACGTGGCTGGGATGATGACCAGGCAGGTCGTGTTGGAATCCTGCATCCATGCTAAGTCATGCTTCACTTTTCTCCTGTAAAAGTAGCTCCGAGGGTCCAATGAGGTAGTGATTTCGTGTGTTTACATAACTACCATCGTTCTCCCTGGCAGGAATGCAAGTTCCTTGAAGGCAAAGGGCTGTGTCTCACGTCCCCAGACCTATAGCACAGTCGGGCACAATCTTCAAGAAACTTGAGCTTCCCAACGTCCGGTCACCGGTTCTTTCAGCTCTCCTTGCCCCTAGGCCAGCGGTTCACGGGGCCCTTTCCTAAGAAACGGTACATCTGCCACACACTTGAAATCTCTGCCTGCAAGCCGCTCCGCTCCGCGCCCCGAGTCAGGGACTTCCCAGAGCACAAGTGCGGCATCCGGGCGCGCCGGCACGGCCTGTGGGAACTGGACGTCCCGCTCGCCCCTCCGCGCGTCCGGGCGCTGACCACCTCTAGCCCTGGGAGTCAGGGCCGAGCCCCGCGGGGCCGAGAGCCCCACGCCCCCGGCCCGCCCCGGGATCGCGCCGCCGCTTGTTTACTCCCCGGCGCAGCCTAGTCCGACCCTGGGGCCCGCCCTCGTCCGCCGCCTATTGGCGGAGGAGGCGCCAACGCTAGCGACGATTGGTCCAGGGGAGGCGGAGGGGTAGGCTGCGCGGGAGGCCGAGAGGGGGCAGCAGGCGATGGCGGCGGCAGCGGCGGCGGCGGGTCGTCTAGGCTGGTTGCTCGCCGCGCTGTGCCTGGGCAACGCCGCCGGGGAGGCGGCGTCGGGCCCGCGAGTGTTGGGCGTCTGTCTGGAGGAGGACGGAGCTGCGGACGCGGGGTGGGAGCGCGGAGGAGAGGTGCGGGCCGCACCGGAGGCCACCTTCCGCCTGCGCCTCTTCGGCTCCGGTTTGGCCAACAGCTCCTGGTCCTGGGTGGCCCCCGAGGGGGCGGGCTGCCCCGAGGGCGGGCCGGCCGCGGCGCCCGAGGAGGCGGCGGCCCCCACGGGCGAGTGGCGCGCACTGCTGCGCCTGCGCGCTGAGGCCGCGCGCCCGCACTCGGCGCTGCTGGCCGTGAGCGGGGAGCCGGGCGGCTCGGCGGCCCGGGAGGCGGCGGCCCCAGCGGGCGAGTGGAGCGCGCTGCTGCGCCTGCGCGCCGAGGCCGTGCGCCCGCATTCGGCGCTACTCGCCTTGCGCGTGGAGCCAGGCGGCTCGGCAGCCGAGGAGGCGGCGCCGCCCTGGGCGCTGGGCCTGGGGGCGGCGGGGCTGCTGGCGCTGGCGGCGCTGGCGCGGGGCCTTCAGCTAAGCGCGCTGGCGCTGGCGCCCGCCGAGGTGCAGGTGCTGCGCGAGAGCGGCTCGGAGGCCGAGCGCGCCGCGGCGCGGCGCCTAGAGCCCGCGCGGCGCTGGGCCGGCTGCGCCCTGGGCGCGCTGTTGCTACTGGCCAGCCTGGCGCAGGCGGCGCTGGCGGTGCTGCTGTACCGCGCGGCCGGCCAGCGCGCCGTGCCCGCCGTGCTGGGCAGCGCGGGGCTCGTGTTCCTGGTGGGCGAGGTGGTACCGGCTGCCGTGAGCGGGCGCTGGGCGTTGGCGCTGGCGCCGCGCGCGCTGCTCCTCAGCCGCCTGGCCGTGCTGCTGACCCTGCCGGTGGCGCTGCCCGTGGGCCAGTTGCTGGAGCTGGCGGCGCGGCCCGGGCGGCTGCGCGAGCGTGTGCTGGAGCTGGCCCGCGGCGGCGGCGACCCCTACAGCGATCTCAGCAAGGGCGTGCTGCGCTGCCGGACCGTGGAGGACGTGCTCACGCCGCTCGAGGACTGCTTCATGCTGGACGCCAGCGCCGTGCTGGACTTCGGCGTCCTGGCCAGCATCATGCAGAGCGGCCACACGCGCATCCCAGTGTACGAGGAGGAGCGCTCCAACATCGTGGACATGCTCTACCTCAAGGACTTGGCCTTCGTGGATCCCGAAGACTGCACGCCGCTCAGCACCATCACCCGCTTCTACAACCATCCGCTCCACTTTGTCTTCAACGACACCAAGCTGGACGCTGTTCTGGAGGAGTTCAAACGAGGTAACGGGACATCGGGGAGGGGACACGAATGCCAGCGCTCTCCTCTGGAAAAACGGTGGGTGTTTATGGAAGCCTTGAGGAAATGGTCCCATCCTTACGGAGGTCTCTCCGAGTACCCTTTTAGATGATGGCCTCACAGCTCTCAGTGACCTTTTGAAATACTCAAAGGCTGTCGTTCAGAGCGCTGTGGAAAGCAAAATCCCCCTTTTCCTGGTAGGCCTAATTTGGGGAGCTGTGTCCACTTGACTCTAACCCACCAGCTTTTTCCTTCATTTTTGTGGGCTTTGGCTTTGTAAAGGGTTTAAATTCTTAAAAAGAACTAGAAGAACAGAAAAGAGGATAGTCTTCAGACATCTGGTCGCTTTCACCTGCACACATCATCAAATTAGCAGGGCCTGTGTCGTTTTAAGGGATCATTGTTAAGGTCTTTCATGGGCTGCTGCCTTGCTGATAACAGAAGAAGGAATGATACCTGATTTTCTGCAGATGTGGGAGACACTTTGATTTCATCGGAAGCAACTTTATGGATACTGATTTAGTCTCCCTTTTTGTCTTGTCTTTTTTTAACTTCCCATTTTCTGATAATGAGTAAGGTCTGTCAGGGTCTCCCTTAACTCCACAGTTCACCCTCTTCTTTCACCTTGGTTTATCTGAGCAACTCCAAGGTTGAAGGAAAAAATGGAGACCCAGCCTCCAAGTGTGAAGGTGTGGGTTCCTCTGCAGTCCTGTCATTGTCAGGCTTGGGTGTGCTCCCCAGAACTTGGCTGCTCCTTGTCTGCCAGCAATGCTTCTCACCCCTGAATTCCTGCAGGATGAGCATGGGGGACACCCCAGGACTCTGGATGGGCTTGACCCGAAAGGCTGCATAATGTGAGGCGGGGAAGAGAGTGGAGCCCCCGATCTTCCTGGCAGCTGTGAAGTCTCTGGGCCCCAGGCCGCATGGATGTTGAGTAATTAGTCGTGGCTTGGGTGTTGAATAGTTAGGCAGTTACTGTCCTTACTGTACCTGAGGACTGGGTGGGAGACTTTGCTGTGCAGCTTTGACTGCTCTGCTAGAGCATCTCTTGGGTGCTCTTGGCTGTTTCCCCCCAGAAAGTGCTCTTGGCTGTTTCCCCCAGAAAGTGGCTATGCAAACCCTCTCAGGGAAGGGGAGCCCGGGGTGGGGGCCTGACCTCTGCTGGTGAGTACTCCATCTGGGCTCCTGTAGTTTTCTAGGCAGTGGAGGTTCTGGTGGCCTGGAGTGCACCAAGGAGGGTTCCATCCTGCCCCTGCCACCTCCCAGCTTGAGACCCTGGGAAGGCTGGACTTGACCTCCAGGGCGTTGACTTTGAGCCCCGACTGGTACGGAGACCAGTGGGTAGGGGGCCCAGCTAAGAAATGGTGGTAGCTGAATAAAGGTGGGCAGCGGGCCTGGAGAGGAGATCCAGAAGGGCTTTGGGAGGTGGAATTGAGGGGGCTTTGTGGTTAGCTGAGGAGCCAAGGGTGAGGCCTGGGTTTCTGGCTTCGGGATGCTCTTGCCCTTCCCTGAGGCAGAGCACTTACAGAGAAGGGAGGTCATCATGGTGGTGGGGGGGGGGCGCGTGGCACAGGTGAGTTTGTTCTGGACACTGGAATGTGTCTCTGCAGTGGCCCAAGAGGCCGACTCAACCAGTTGATGAGAAATACGAGTTAAAGACCCAAGCAGGAGATAAAGATTTGTTTGTTGGTAAAGGAGTGGTCGCTCAAGCCATAGGTGTGGCACAGAAAGCCTAAACCCCTGAGGGCACAAGCATATGAGGGGTGGAGGGTAGCAGAGGAGAGCTGCTGAGGAGACCCAGTTCAGAATGCCCTAGAAGAGACCAATTACCGAGGGAAGGCGAATGATCAGGAGAGGCCAGCATCATGTCATTTGGATCCAACAACCAGGATACTCTTGACCCCTGCAAGAGCAGATTTGGTACTCCAGCGTGGGTGATGGGGAATGAATGGGGCGTGACAGCTGAGGTAGATGGGCCTGCCATGAGGTATGGCTGCAGAGCAGAAGCCAGAGAGCGGTGGCTGGGAGACGACTGGTAGGGGAGGGGGCCCTCTGCTCTTCAGTTGAAGATGGGCAAGTTGAGTGGCTTTGGGTTGAAATGTTGACAGAAAGGAGCCAGTCGGGAGAGAAGGCGCACAGTCTAGGCTGCTCCTGTTCTGGGATGGTGGGTGGCCTTGGAGCAGCTCTGGGGAACCTGGAGGTTGAATGGGGAGCTCCTCAGTCGTCCTCGCCTTCCTCCCCTGACAAGTGAGGGCCATTCTCAGGGGCAAATTGGCTTCGTCTTTCCTCTGACATCCTGGAGCCTTTCTCTGCTTCTCTTTGCAGTGCACTCCTATGGCAGATATCTGTTTTTCCTCATTAAGATCCTTTTTAGCCTAACCCCTTTCTTCATTTTGCTTATGAACAAAGGGCATATTGCAGCCCTTACGGCGCGTGAGGTTTTAGAAATCAATTCCCTACCTGTCTCTCTGCCAAGTGTATGAGGTGGTGGTGCCCTCTGAATTTCCTGAAGCTGGAGTCCTTGACATCTTGGCAGCTACCATTCCAGGCCCTGTTCCTTTCATCCCTTCAGGGCACTGTCTGTTTTGGAACTTCATAGTCTGGGAGAGGCACCTTTTCTGGTGAGGCTCTCCTTAGTTAGTGTGCAGACTTAAGATGATACCAAATATTTGGGGCAAACATTACCAGGAAGAGAATGTACTCTGGAGCTGCAGTAAAGTATATTTTCTTTAAAGCTATTAATCCCACCATCTTTGTCAACCTCCCAGTGAGAGTATTCAAGGACAGTCAACCAAAGGAGGAATTAGGATGCATGCTTTTCAGAATCTCTGCTTTAAACCAACCAAGTTCTGGTTCATTGTCAGAAGCCAGAGGATCCCCAGGATTCTGAAAAGAGTCAGACCTGCTGTGAGGAATGTTAGCCTAGCACTTTTCTCCTAGGACATGTTCTGACAGTTGCTTTAAAAAATAAAGGAAGGGGGGGCGCGCCTGGGTGGCTCAGTCAGTGAACATCTGCCTTCTGCTTAGGTCAGGGTCTTGGGGTCCTGGGATCGAGCCCTGCGTCAGGCTCCCTGCTCAGTGGGGAGTCCGCTTCTCCCTCTCCCCCTCCCTCTGCCCCTTCCCCTGCTTGTGCTCGCTCTCTCTCACTTTTTCTAATAAATAAATAAATCTAAAAAAATAAAACGAAGATAGAGGAATTTAAACTCCATCTGCATTTTTACAAATATCCTAGAAATTAGGCATTATGGAAGAGTTTTCTAGCATCCATATAATTTATGAGTACATTCGAGCTTGCTAACTAAAATGAAAACTCTGTAGAGCTTTTCCAGGGCTTTCTGGTTGATTCAGGTAAGATGCATCATCTGCCCCTTACCTGAGGCTCTTTGCTCAGGGAGAACCTGTAGGCAGTTGTCCCGGGGCCTGTTAGTGTTTCTAGTCAGCCAGCCAGGGGCCTGTGTATTTTCAGAGCATTTTGTCGTATCAGATGAGAAATAAACTTTAATCCCTCCAGCTGCCTGTTCTCTGTGTACCCCTACTGCTTTTTCGTGGTTGCCGTCTGGACCCCTCAGACATTCTGTGTTGAGATGAAATCCCATGGCCACTGTGTCAGAGGATCTTTCAGGGGCTCTGCTTTCGTCTGTTATCCAGTCATACCATGTGGCAGGTCACTGAGAAACTGTGCCTCTTTTACAAAAGTTTGAAAGCAAGGGAGAGGTTAGTCCATTCTAAGGATAACCTACATAAGGGGCTGGCATTCTGGAAGAATGCAGCTGAAATGGGTTCTCTCTGCTCTTACATGGTCATCTAGAACCTGGGCTTTGGTTCCTAGAATCTGACCAGAATTGTATGTCAAGCTTCAGCCTTCCTCATCTGGTCTGACAGATTAGTATCATGTGGCGGGGTCAGCGTGACCCTCGTGGAAATGATGCCCGTCTGTTGGTGTGAGCCATTGCCAGCACAGATACCCAGGGGTGGGCAGCATCTGGAAATGCTGCTATTCCTCATTCAGTACTTCTGTCTCAGCAGGAATGAGCAGATAGTTCTCGGGAACCCCTGGCCTTTTTCTCCTGGAAAGGGGGAAGACAGTGTAGTCATTCCTGCCTGTAATTTTTGTCGAAGATGTTAGAGCATCCTGAAGAACAATACTTTGTTTTCTTTAGAAGGACCCCTGTGCTGGAGACAGTACCTTGGCCCAGTGTAATTCACCTAGAGGGGAAGGTCCCCTAAGATTTGGTCTCTTGTTCTCCAGTGAAAACGAAAAGAGTATGGTGGTTAAGAGAATGGATTCAGGGGTGCCTGCATGGCTCAGTCGGTTAACATCTGCCTTCGGCTCAGGTCATGATTCCGGGGTCCTGGGATTGAGTCCTGCATCGGGCTCCCTGCTCCATGGGGAGTCTGCTTCTCCCTCTCCCCTTGCACCCCCTGCTTATGGTCTCTCTCTCTCTCTCTCTGTCAAATAAATAAAATCTTTTAAAAAAAGGAAAGGAAAAAACAGATTCAGGAGCCAGCTGCCTGGGTTCACATCTCGGTTTTGCACTTGGGTGAGTCACTGAAGCTCTCTGAGCCTGTTTTCTCTGCAGACTGTAAATGGGAATAATCCTCTGTTCCCAGTAACTTAATAAATGAATACAGCACTTAGCTGCCAGCACACAGTAAGCACTACATGCCGCATTCCTTCAGTTCACAGGTGCATTGTTTTTTGTATTTCAACATCTCTGCGATCAGGATGTGTCTCACAATTGATGGCATCTTCAATTTGATGAAATACAGTAAATGTTTTCTTTTTCTTTTCTACAGCCTCATTCCCTTTTTTTGTTTAAAGATTTTATTTTTAAGTCATCCCTACACCCAACATGGGGCTTGAACTCACAACCCTGAGATGAAGAGTTGCATCCTCCCCCGACTGAGCCAGCCAGGCGCCCCTGCCTCATTCCTTTCTTGATCATTTGGCCAGTGGTCTATTAATAATAATAGCTTTTGGTTGACTGGACATTTTCTTTTTATCTAAATTTGGAGCAGGGGCGCCTGGGTGGCTCAGTTGATTAAGTGTCTGCCTTCGGCTCAGGTCATGATCCCAGGGTCCTGGGATCGAGCCCCACATTGGGCTCCCTGCTCAGAAGGGAGCCTGCTTCTCCCTCTCCCTCTGCCTCTCCCCCTGCTCATTCTCTCTCTCTTTCTCAAATGAATAAATAAAATCTTTAAAAAAATAAATTTGGATCAGAGGTCTTCCTGCACCCACCCAGGTGCTCCTGTTTTAATTTTTATTTTATTTTATTTTATTTATTTGAGAGAGTGAGTGGGTGCTGGAGGGGGAGGGGTAGAGGGAGAGAGAATCTCAAGCAGACTCCACACGGAGTGTGGAGCCTGATGTGGGGCTCGATCTTGCGACCCTGAGATCATAACCTGAGCCGAAATCAAGAGTTGGATGCTTAACGACTAAGCCACCCAGGTGCCTCTGTTTTAATATTTTTATGTTATCACTTAATTTTGCCTGTGTTTTTTTTCTTAATGTGGTTACTCAAATTTAAAATTACATATATGGTTTGCGTTCAGTTTCTTTTGGTCAGGTTTCATAAAGTTTCATAGATGAAAAGCAGAGTCAGTTCTTGAAGCACTCTGAGACTTGGGCTTTGTTCAAGCTTCCATTTCTTTATCAGACAAAGAAACAAACCAATAGGAAGCTCAGCTGAAGAAGGGGAAGGTGAACAGTTCCAGGCTGCTGCCCTTCCTCCCGCACAGTCTGGGCTCTGACTGGCCACTCACCATTTATCATCTTCCCCCTGGATGACTTGCATAGACCTTGGCTTCTGGAAATAAAGGACAGCTTTCAGAATGGGGATGCTTCCCCAGGAGAGTCACTGGGTAGCCCTTCTGCACTCCCCCATGTAGACTGTCCCCAGGGGAGCCCGTGCTTCTAGAGTTGGTGCCCTTGTGTGTGCAGCCCTAGCGTCTGTCCTGGTCTGACGCAGCCTTATCTAAACCACGTTCCTGTAGACCCAAGGCTGACTCTGCTCTGCCTCTGCCTGGGTGGCCTTGTGCGGCTGAGCATAGTGCCTGATATTTAGGGTCCTCGTGTGTAAAGGGAGGCTCATCCTCACGAGCATGTTGAGAGGCTTAAGTAAGAACTTAGTGGTGCCTGGTACCTTGTGGGAACACAGACATCACCTCCTGTCACTCTGGTGAGCTTGTACCAGGCAGGACTAAGCAAAATGGGAGGCCCCCGGCCAGCTGTAATCTGAGCGTCCCCTCCCCCAGGGAAGTCCCACCTGGCCATCGTGCAGAAGGTGAACAACGAGGGTGAAGGTGACCCCTTCTACGAGGTACTGGGCCTGGTCACCCTGGAGGACGTCATTGAGGAGATCATCAAGTCGGAGATCCTGGACGAGTCTGAGGACTACCGTGAGTCTTAACTCCTGGCAGCATTCCATCTCAGCTGGTCTTTCAAGCCTACTGAGATGTGTGGTGTGCCTCAGAGGACAGCGGGTCTCCGTGTTGCTAAAATGAGGCTGGCTCTCCAGTCAGAGCTGTTGGCTAGCTGGGGCCGCGGGGGAGTGGGCCAGCATGGCCCCCTTGCAGGAGGGCCCGCAGCTGTGCCTGGATGCGACGCCGCGGTGGCCCGGCAGGGCCTTTGCAGCCCCACTGCCTGCCTGGGACTCTGGCTGCAGCAGCAGTTTGGTTTCTCCGGCACAGATGGGGGCCCTGCCCTTCATGGGCCTTTCCCAGACTCCCGTGTCCCTTTGGCTTTCTCGGCTTCCTTTTCTACAGAAGCTTAGTTCTTCTGTAGAAGAACTTCTACAGAAGTTACAGAAGCCTCTCCTCAGAGAACCCCGTTCTTTACTGCTGAGAGGGTCTTTCCGAAGCCGAAGATCCTGGGGCCTGTGATTATGCCTTAGGGGTGTCCGGCTCTTAGGAACATGGCTGAGGTCTGCAGGGCAGACACAGAACCTGGACCTGATGGCCCGGGGCCTCACATGCACGCTTGGGACACTGAGCACCCCCCCAGCTCCATCTGCTGTCAAGTGAATCGCTTTGCCCTCGCGTCTGTCCCCAAAATGCAGCCTCTTTAGTTTGGTTCCTCAGACCACCATAGGCATGGGGACGTCAGGTTAGCTGCTGCCATGTCACACCCATAATCTGCAAAGACGTGCTTTCTGGTGAGGGGTGTCTGACCGTCCTGTCAGTATTCTGCCTTCCCAGCTCCGAGGACAGGAGCAGGCCCTGTCTGTACTTCCTCAGGACATGGCTGGTGTACGGGCCTGCCCCCTCCGCCCCGAGTACCAGGTTTGTTGTGTGTGGAGAGCGGCCGCCAGGCCCCAGCAGGGCTGTGTCCCTGGGGCTCTGATGCTGCCTCCCCCATCCGAGAGCCCCCAGGCTGCGGCAGCGGGCCTTGGTTTGCTCGTACTGATTGGAGGGCTACTGTTGCCTCAGTGGGCCTTCTCGCCATCCTAGGAGATGCCGCCGTGCGGAAGAAGCCTGCTCCTCTGAGTGCCCCTCTCAGGCCGAAAGAGGAATTCTCCCTGTTCAAGGTGTCTGACGATGAACATAAAGTGAAAATCTCGCCTCAGCTGCTCTTGGCCACCCAGCGCTTCCTGTCCCGAGGTGAGGATGAAGGGTGGGCCTTTGCTCTCTTGCCCACCGTCCGGCGGGTCAGGAGGCCCCCAGGGCAGACACCGAGTGCCCTCAGTCCTGGGAAGGAGGAGCGTACCCAGCAGCATTTCGGTGCTTCTCTCCAGCCCTGTCAGCACTTCAGGGCCCCTGAGGGACGGCTCCTGTCTGCCGATGGCTGAGAGCTGCGGCCAGGCAGGCGCCACCTCTGGCCAGCCATGGCGGGGAGCCTCAGCGGGGTGGGTGTGCGGCCTGCCCAGTTCCCTGGTGTTGGGGAGGTGACTTGGCTCAGGGGGCAGCAGGAGTTGGGTGTGGTCGTGCAGGCCACTCTGGGCCTGGTGGACACTGTCCCTTTTTCCCACCATGGGGCAGAGGTGGATGTATTCAGCCCCCTGCGAATCTCCGAGAAGGTCCTGCTGCACCTGCTGAAGCATCCCAGCGTCAACCAGGAAGTGAGGTTTGACGAGAGCAACCGTCTGGCTGCACACCATTACCTGTACCAGCGCAGCCAGCCGGTGGACTATTTCATTCTCATCCTGCAGGTAACTGGGAGCCCAGACTGGAGCCTCCCACTTGCTCAGAAAGTAGGGAAGGGTCTGAGAGAGGGAGGATCATGCACATCCACACCCCCTGAATAATTGGGGTTGGTGCTTTCTCCTTGTGCTCTCGTCTGGCGGGGAGGGTAATCTGTCCACATCTCTTTCTCTCCCTGCCCCTCCTCCCTCCCTCTCCCTCCACCTCCCAGGGCAGGGTTGAGGTGGAGATCGGGAAAGAGGGCCTGAAGTTCGAGAATGGGGCCTTCACCTACTATGGAGTGTCTGCCCTGACAGCACCATCCTCAGGTAAGCGGCAGCCCCTCTTGGAGTGGAAGGCTGGGCTTGGCTGCTGGGCTGCAGCTCTCCGGGGCCCAGGATCTGGCCTCCCCCTCCTCCAGAGCCCACGCATCCTGTTGGGTGCTCCACTTGAGGATGGGCTGGCTTTTTTCCTCTCTGGGCTATGTCAAGGGAAGGGGCAGCGTTTCTCGGGCTCGTCGCTGTTGCTTGCTCCTGCCCCCGCCAAGCCTTTCCCGCGAGGAAGTGTGCTTGCCGTCCTTCTCTGTGTTCGTAGCCATGATCACATCATAGCATGATCTGTGGGGTGGATCTCCGAGGCGGTGCAGTTGTCCCCACCAGAGAAGTCACTGATTGTTCCTTCTGATAGTTCACCAGTCCCCAGTGTCCTCGCTCCAGTCCATCCGCCATGACCTGCAGCCCGAGCCAGCCGATGGTGCCCGCTTGTGTGCGTACTGTCCTGACTACACCGTGAGGGCCCTCTCCGACCTGCAGCTCATTAAGGTGACTGTCTGGGCTGCTCATTGGTGCTGGCTGTTAGGCAGCTTTGTGTCCCCCAGGGGCTAAACCAGGTGGCCTCAAGTTTGTATGGATTAAGAGTAAATTCTTCTTGAGTCTCTCTGAGACTTGCTGGAACAGGACCGTGTTACTTGCTCGGAAGGACAGATGGCCTTGGCTCCTGGAGGTCCCTCTGACTGCTGGCAGTCTAGTCCCGTCGCTGGGACTGTGCGCCCAGTTTCCTTTGGAGATCCTAAAGACATTGCCTGATTGCTCTTCTCTGCCCTTAGCTGGCTTAAAGCTCTTCATTTTCCTTGGCCCTGCTGAGTGTGACTCTCCCACCTAGTTCTGGTGCTTGTGGGCAGGCGGGAGACGTGCGACCTTCTTGGACCTTGCTTTCTCCGTCTGGCTTCCCAAGTTGCACCTGCCTGGGGGTGCTTTCTGTCCTCCAGGTCACGCGGCTGCAGTACCTCAACGCGCTCCTGGCCACTCGAGCTCAGAACCTGCCCCAGTCCCCGGAGAACGCAGACCTCCAGGTCATCCCAGGCAGCCAGACCAGGCTCCTCGGTGACAAGACAGCCACAGCGGCAGGTGAGCCCCGCAGGGCCACAGCCCCGGTGTGGCAGCCCGGAGGGCGTGCACGTCCCGTGCCGGTCCTTGCTGCTCCCGCACACACTCACTCCCGCTGCCCTCACTCTGCCGTGTAGTCCTCTTCCCTGGTCCCCTTTCCCGCGCATCCTTTCCTTTTCCTCTTCTCACTGTCAGTAGCTCCGATGACACTGTGCTGCAGGCCGGCTCACGTGGAAAGTACGTGCGGTCAGCATTTTCTCTGGAGGACCTGTCAGCATGGGTTGCCTTCATTAGAGAAGAGTTGCTAAATGGGAATAAGACCAAGTCCAGACACTCTTGGTCAGTTAGGATTAGGGTTAGGTCACCTGGAAAATGAAGATCCAGTCACCAGTGGGCCCGGCTCAGAAGGCGGCTGGCTGGTGGACACCATGCCAGGAGCTGAGAAGGGCTCCAGTGGAGATGTTTGGTTGGGTGAAGCTAATATTTAAGTCCTGCGCCTCACATCTAGGGTCCCACTGGGAGCCGGAAGATCGCGTTGGATGAAATAGATGGGGTGTGGGCTAGCAAACCCTGCCTTGTAGATAAAAAGGAGACTGTGCAGAGTGGGCTTTGGGTGGGAGTGCTAAAAAGTTAGGGAACTTTCTTGGTTTGGTACTCAGGAAGGTACTTTCATTCTGATTGAGCTCCTAAGTTGGGGTCAGAGATACACTCAGGGGCTGGGTGGTCCTGGGTGAGTGGACGGGGCTTCCAGCGAGGCCGTGGCAGAAGCTGCAGGCTGCCGGCCGCCCTGGGCACTCTAAGGTGGGGACACCGAGCTCTCTTGAACACTGGCTCTGCCTGGCACTGTGCTAGGAACTTTGCTCATCCTCACTCATCTAAGAACACGTCTCCATTCTCAGAGGTGGCAGTTGTTAGGCCCATTTTACAGATGAAGAATCAGAAGCAGAGAGAGACCGAGGCACTCTGGCCTGGAGCCCGTGCATGCCCTTGGCCTCTGGGCAGTGGTGTCTCACAGGGAATAGCTCTGGTTATTTAGACCCGCACTTGAGAACACGAATGTATTTTTATGATGGATACTTTCTGAGAGGTGATGTGCAGGTGCAAGGGACAGAAAACCCCGGCCTGGGCCTGTGAGTGGCTCAGCCCCTGAGCACTCCATCTCTGTGCATTGGTAAAAGGGGGTCCCAGTGTGAGGCGTGCTGCTCCAACCCTGGATCTGGGCCTTTCGGGCCTTCTTTGGTGAATGTGTACTGAGAAGTGGTGTTCTACCTTTTAGGGCTGATCACAGTTCTATATTTACCCGCTATGACGTTCTGTTCTTTTGTGAGAGGCCGCTTGTTCACACCATCACCTTAGACTGGGGTCTCAAAAGCCAGTATGTTTTTGTTTTCAAAATGTGAGCATTTCGTTTTGGTTTTTTTCAATGTGAACCTTTTCTGGCTTCACCTGCTTACTCAAACTTCACATATTCTGTTCAAGGTATAGACTTAAATCTAAGAACCATGGTTTTTCCTTCATTTCATCCTTTATTACACATGCAGAGTTTTTTGGGTTTTAGATTTTATTTATTCATAAGAGGCAGAGAGGCAGAGGGAGAAGCAGGCTCCAGGGAGAAGCAGGCTCCCCGTGGAGCAGGGAGCCCGATGCGGGACTCGATCCCGGGACCCTGGGATCATGACCTGAGCCGAAGGCAGACACTTAACCATCTGAGCCACCCAGGAGCCCTATACATGCAGTTTTTTAAAGTCCTTTTGGGGCTTCAGCCGTTCATTGGGCCATCCTCTGAGGAAATACAGGTGTCCCCTGAAAGTTCACTTCATGCCACTTTGCTTTTACAATAGACTTAGGTCGTGCCCGTTTTCACTAACTGAAAGAACTCCGAAGAGGGGTTTTGCTTCTTGAAATGGTAATTGTTTCTTGGCTTTATGCCACGCTGGCTTAAAAAAGATTTCATGGGGGCACCTGGGTGGCTCAGTCGTTAAGCGTCTGCCTTTGGCTCAGGTAATGGTCCCAGGGTCCCAGGATCGAGCCCCGCATCGGGCTCCCTGCTCCGCGGGAAGCCTGCTTCTCCCTCTCCCACTCCTTCTAGTGTTCCCTCTCTCGCTGTGTCTCTGTCAAATAAATAAATAAAATCTTTTAAAAAAAAAATTTCATGGGAGCGCTCTGCTTTCGGAAAGCGGGGAAGCCCGTGACCTGCCATGGCTCTGTGGGTCCTTTGCCCCTCAGTGACGGCTTACCCGCTTTGCGCAGGGGCCGGGGGCAGTGTCGTAGCCAGAGAGGTCTACCCGAGGCACCACCATGCTGATCGTAATGGATTCGCCTCCCATTCTTTTACCATGATGTGGGTTTTCCCCGAAATGTGGCCGGACGTTTGTCCGCAGTGAGGCTTGCCTGCTGTCTCCTGCTCCTTGCCTCAGCTCTCGGAGGTTGTGCTGTGGCTCATCTCTGCTAGGTGGCACTCCACTGCCCCCCAAGAGAACTGTGTCGCTGCACACGTGGAGATGTCGCTGGGGACGTTGCTTAAATAGCGCAGGTCAGAACCATCCCCCGATTGACTTTGGCACTAGATTCGCTGGCAGAACAACGCCTTATTGAGATGCTTGGAAAATTAGTCACTGCCTGCGGCAGGATCGGCAGACTGGCTGGCTGCTGGGTTGGTAAATAAAGTCCTATCGGACCCTGTCCGTTTGTTTCTGGATTGTGTATGAGTGCCTTTGGCTGCAGCAGTGGAGCTGAGCTGTTGCCACAGGGACTATGACCTGCAAAACCTAAAAATACTGGCCCTTTACAGAAAGTTTCCTGACCCCAGGCCCGTCCTGTCAAACTCGGGGTAACCCCTGCACAGTGGCCATTCCCAGAGAGAGTCCATTCCAGACGCCGCGCTTCCTGCTCCCTGTGGTTCTGAGCCGCGGGCCGTGAGGGGCACCCCCCCCCCAGCATGCCCGTGGGGTGGCCCAAGCCGAGCGGCCCTGCCGGCGCAGCTGCACAGCTGGTGTCCTCTTGTCTCTCCCCTCTGCTCTCTCTAGCCTTCCCCGTAGACCTTTCCCTCTTTGGCACATTTGGAAACTGCAGTTGATAATTGACTGTGGACTAGTGAGCATTTTTTGTTTTCAGAAAACACCCAAGGTAAATATCTTCCCTTTCACTTTCTCTTTGCTTTCCTTCCCCAGCCCTCTAGCTGCCAGGAGGAGCCCTGGACATGGCCGCCCCCAGACAGGGAGGTGTTTCTCCAGGGGTGGGTGGTGTGAGGGGACCCTTCCTGTCCTTCATTGCCACTTTTCATTTCATTATTCTGGAAGACTGACGGGGTCATGAAATAACCCACTCGGTGGTGGAAACTAAAGCTTCCTTCTGGCGCAGGGGCTTTCGTGTCCAGGGCAGGCTCCTCTCGCCCAGCCTTATGGCCTTGGCCTCCTGTGAGCAGAAACCCCCTGCCCTGCTTTCCTGCCTCTCAGTGACGCAGCCCTCCTCCCAATGGTTTTCTCTTGGGAGGTGAGGTCAGCCCGACCGTTTTCCTGACTGCCCACTCCCGGCTCTGCCTTGATGCTGAGGTGTCCTGAGGCCCCTCTGCCTTGCCAGCCCCTTCCTGTCCTAAAGAGGATTTTGATACTTGGCTTTGATGGGACCTGCTTCCTTCACTGGCTTTGATGGTAATTCTTCTTTTCCTCTCTCCTCTAGGGCCCAACCACAGCAGACCCGGCCTCCCAGCGGAGGAGAGCCCTGGGCGGAACCCAGGGGTTTAACTGCTTGCCAAGCAGCCCCAGGTCTGGGGAATGGACAAGCACGTGGGGAACTGGAGAGCCGAGGAGTAGCTTGTCAGCCTATCCCCATCCCCTCCAGGCCACGTTTTAGATGGCCCTTATAGATGTGGGTCCTGGGCTGTCCTCAGAACCAGACCTCAATGCCGGGAGCCTTCAGCGGGTCCTGCCCTCCTTTAGGAAATGGGGGTCAGTTGGGGCACAGCCCTCCAGGCCTGTTTCTGAAGGAAATGGAAAGACACTGTCATCTCCGGTCCCCAGGACCCAGCCTTCTCCCTGTGACAGTGCAGTGTATTTATACCTCTTTGGGCCAAGCCATGATGTGAGTGCACGGTTACTGCCTTTACGTGGCCGTGACCTGTACTCGCTTTGCTTTCAATTTGCCAACCTTCTGCTGCCGGCAGCACTTTGAGCAAACCAGGAGCACTGGTTGGGGCTGGGGGGGTTCACATCCTTGGCCGTAGCCACAGTGAACGATTTGGCTTCCCTTACAATGCCGTGTTTCAGAGCACGCGCCCCAGCCTGTCCCATGTGCCAAACCTCAAAGCTCGATGACCCACCGGTATGTGCCACTGTCCTGCTCCCTCCTGTGGAGGTCGCTTTTCTGAGCCCTGTGCTCAGAGCTCTGAGCAAGAGAGCTGGCCCCCAGTGGCACTGAGGAGGCCTGCTCCTTCTGCTTCTCTGCCTGTCTTGCTTAGTTGCTTCTAACGGTATTGTCACTTTCTGTGTTTGAAGAAGAGAGGTCACCCATGGGAGGAAGGGGTGTGCTGCCCCTAACTCTTTCTCAGTTGCTGGATCCCAGGGAGAGGATCCAGCCGTTAGACCTACTTTGTACCTTCTTCCTAGGCCTCCACGGAGAGCTGGATGGCTGTCATTTGCACGGAGAGAGGCAGGGGAGGGAAGGGTTGGTTATGGAGCAGGTAGAACTTCATCCCCTTTCTTTAAAAAAACAAAAACCCGTCAGTTTTTCTTGTATCTCTGAAACATTTCAGCTGTTTGCTTTTTTGCTGTTCTTAGCTACGGGGTTTTAGAGAATTGGGAACAAGAAGGCATTTATGTTTTTCTTCTGGCTTACCCATTTTTACCTTCTGCAGTTCTTCAACTGCAGAAACTGGGGCATCACAGAGACGTAGGATTGCAGATTGGATGCGGGGGAGGAGGATTTCTGGAACCTTTCTCAAAGGAATTTGGGTCCCTTATCTGGGACCGTTGGGAATGAAGGCCAAAGAACAATGGCATGCTCGCTTAGAAACTTCTCAAGGAGTTCTAAGAGCAAACCCGGGTGGGAAGCATATCTTACAGTCATCTCCAGAACAGTGGTTCTTAACCTTGGCTGCACGTTAGAATCACCTGGCAAATTGAAAAATACTGATACCTGATACTTGGGGTCTCCTCTTCCAGGGAGCCTGATTTAATTGATCTGGGCATGAGGATTTTATTTTTTGAAACAATTTTAATTTTTTAAAGTGAGCTCCCACCCAACATGGGTCTTGAACTCCCGACCCTGAGTTCAAGAATCACGTGCTCTACTGAGTCAGGCAGGCGCCCCTGAAAAAATTTTAGAGTTACATAAGAGTGAAGGGTTATATCCATATACACTTCACCCAGCTTCCCCTAATGTTAACATCTTACATATAACCTGGTACATCTATCAGAACTAAAAAAATTAACATTGGTACAAACCTGTTAACTAATGACCGACTTTATTTGGATCTTAATGGTTTCTCCAATAATGTCCTTTTTCTGTTGCAGGATCCAATTCTGGATACCAAGTTGCATTTAGAGTTACTGCTTTTTTCTAAGTCTTTATTTTGAAACGATTACAGATCCATAGGAAGTTGCAAGCTAGGGGGACCCTTCACCCAGTTTTCCTCGTTACTCTTACGTAGTTAGAACACAGTATCAAAACCACGAAGCTGACACTGGCACAATGTGGGTGATCATTCTCTGTCCTCCCGGGTAGATCTGTGTAGCTGCCACTGCCCTCTCGATAAAGAGCTGTCCCACCACACGGGGATCTCCCTCCCATTAGAGCCATAGCACCCCCTCAGCTTCCGTCCCTAACCCTTGGCAACCACTAATCTAAGATTTTGTCATTTCAAGAACGTTGTGTAAGTGGGGTCATATAGTACGTGACCATCTGGGATTGGCCTTTTTCACTCAACAGAATATTCCGGAGATGCATCCAGGTTGTTGTGTGTGTCAGTAGTTCATTCCTTTTGATTGCTGCGTAGTATTCCTTGATATGTTCACTGTCCCGATGAAGGACATCTGGGTGGTTTCCAGTTTTTGGCTATTCCAAATAAAGCTGCTATGAACATTCATTCCTTCCAGGTTTTTGTGTTAACGTTGGTTTTCCGAGGTAAATGTCCAGTAATACAATTGCGAGGTTGTGTGGCCATTGCATTGTTTGTTTTTTTAAAGAAACTGCCACATGTCTTTAGAGTAGCTGTACAATTTTACGTTCCCACCAGCAACGTGTGAGTGATCCAGTTTCTCCAAATCCTCACCAGCATTTGGTGGTGTTACCATTTTTTATTTTTAGCCATTCTGGTAGGTGTGTAGTGAGATCTCATTGTGGTTTCCAGTTGTATTAACATAATGGCTGATGTATAGCTTTTCATGTGCTTTTGTGAAGTATCTGTTCTTATTTTTCACCCATTTCTAGTTGGATTGTTTGGTCTCTTACTGTTGTTTTGAGAGTTCTTTATTCTAAATACTAGTCCTTTCTTGGGTTTTTGGTTTGCAAATATTTTCTCCCAGTCCCTAGCTTATTTTTTCATTCTCTTAACAGGATCCTTTGTAGAGCAAAAGTTGTTAATTTTGATGAAGTGCAGTTTACCAGTTTTCTTTTACAGATTGTGCTTTTGGTATCATGTCTAAGAATTCTTTACCTAGTCCTAGATCCCAAAGATTGTCTCCTAGGTTTTTTTTTTTCCTAAAATTTTCATAGTTTTATGCTTTACCTATGTGATCCATTTTGCGTTAACTTTTGTGTAAGATTTAGGTCAAGGGTTTTTGTTTTTTGTTTTGTTCTGTTTTTTAGCCTGTAGACGTCCAGTTGCTCCAGCACCATTTGTCGAAAATGCTTTTTCCTCTATTGAATTTTTTTTTTTTTAAGATTTTATTTATTTGACGGAGACAGGGAACACAAGCAAGGGGAGTGGGAGAGGGAGAAGCAGGCTTCCCGCGGAACAGGCAGCCTGATGCAGGGCTCGATCCCAGGACCCCAGGATCATGATGTGAGCCGAAGGCAGACGCTTAACAACTGAACCACCCAGGCGCCCCTTGAATTTCTTTTAGACCTTTGTCAAAAATCATTTGGGCATATTTGTGTCCATTTCTGGGTTGTCTCTTTTGTTCCATTGATCTATGTATGTCCCTCCATCAGTACCACATTGTCTTGATTACTGTAGCTTTTTTTTTAAAAAAAAAGATTTTATTTGAGAGAGTGAGTGAGCAGGGGAAGGAGCAGAGGGAGAGGGAGAAGCAGACTCCCCGCTGAGCCGGGAGCCCAGTGTGGGGCTTGATCCTCAGACTCCGGGATCATGACCTGAGCCAAAGGCAGACGCTTAACCTACTGAGCCACCCAGGCGCCTCGATTACTATAGCTTTATAGTAAGTCTTGAAATTGGGTAGACTGGCTCCTCCCACTTTATTTTTCAAAATTGTTTTAGCTATGTTTCTATTTTTTAAAATTTGAGGGGTGCCTGGGTGGCTCAGTCGTTAAGCATCTGCCTTCGGCTCAGGTCATGATCCCAGGGTCCTGGGATCAAGCCCCACATTGGGCTCCCTGCTCTGCGGGAAGCCTGCTTCTCCCTCTCCCACTCCCCCAGCTTGTGTTCCCTCTCTCGCTGTGTCTCTCTCTCTCAAATAAATAAAATCTTTAAAAAAATATAAATATTTGAGATAGAGTGAGAGAGCATGGGGGGGTGGGGGGGACAAAGCGAGCGGGAGAAGCAGACTCCCCACTGAGCAGGGAGCCTGATGTGGGGTTTGATCCCAAGACCCTGAGATCATGACCTGAGCCAAATTCAAGAGTTGGATGCTTAACCAGCTGAGCTACTCCGGCGCACCTTACTGAGTTTTTCAATCATCTTATTAACTATATCTACAAAAAAATCTTGCTGGGATATTTGGTAGGAGCTGCATTAAAGCTGTGTATCAATTTGGGGAGAATTGACATCTTTACTAGATCTCAACTTCCAGTCCACGAACAAGGTATGTCTCTCATTTATTTGTCTTGATTTCATTCATTGGTGTGTTGTAGTTTTCAACATACAAGTCCTTAAGTGTTAGATTTACATCTAAGTATTTTGTTTTTAAAGTCAACTTTAAGTGGTACTGTGCTTTTAATTTTTGTGTTCATGTAGTCACTGCTAATATGTAGAAATACTCTTTGTAGGTTTATCTTATATCCTGAGATCTTGCTGAACTCCCTTATTCTAGGTGTTTTTTGTAGATTCCTAAGGATTTCCGCTATAGACAGGTATGTCGTCTGTATGATGATGGGGATACCTGGGTCCCACCCCTAGAGACGCTGATTTAATTAGCTTGCACATCAGGTCTTTTAAAACCTTCCTTGTGATTGTGATAAGCAGCCAAGGCTGAGAACCACTGCTCTTTGAACTTGGCCATCAACGAGCGGAGAGATGCCTTGAGCACAAGAGCCAAGTGCCTGGACTCCCCACTCTGCACTTGGGGCCTATCTTGCTGTCAGGCCAGTACGATTAACAGGTTGAGCTTTTGCTGCTGAGGAAGACCAGGCCCTGGGCCTAATGAGCTGCCCCCGCCGCCCAGCACAGAACAGACAACTAGGCTGTGATGGATAGTCAACAGTTTTTTGTTTTTGTTTTTTTTTTTTTTAAAGATTTTATGTATTTATTTGACAGAGACACAGTGAGAGCAGGAACACAAGCAGGGGGAGTGGGAGAGGGAGAAGCAGGCTTCCCGTGGAGCAGGGAGCCTGATGCGGGGCTCGATCCCAGGAGCCTGAGATCATGACCTGAGCTGAAGGCAGACGCTTAACGACTGAGCCACCCAGGCGCCCCAAGGATAGTCAACAGTTTTAATGAACAAAAAATGAAGTGTATAAAAGGCCTCCATCTTCTAGATGGAGAGTCGTCTTCTCCATGAACTTGAACACCTGTTTCTCCTATGGCTCCAGCACCGGGGTGAACTGTCACCACAGTTCCCTGCAGGGCTGGAGCTGCACGTGGCAAGAGGTGTATGGGGGCTGTAGTCGCTTTTTCACATAGAATAGCCTTGTGCTTGGCCCAAGAAGGCCACCAGCGTTAGACTAGAAAGAACTGCTGCAAAATGGATGTCCATCCAGGTACTTTATGTACATGAGGGAGGCTGACCCTTCATCAGCTGGTCTCTCTGCCTGCGGTTCTCCATTTGGGGCAGAGTTCCTTAAAACTCACTTTGTGCCAGTTCAGGACCCAGCCCCGCCAGCGCAGCATGGAAGAGAAAAGGCGGTGAGGGGAAGGAAGCGTGAGGAGAACTTGTGTGTGGCTGGGTCCTAAACCCGCCACCATGCAGCCGAGGGGGGAGCAGGAGGGGTGCTGCTCGCTCTCTGCTTCCCCTCCAGGGCCAAGCAGGTGTGGCCCAGGCCAGAGCTCAGGCTCTAGTGCTAGGGTGACGTTGCCTGGGGCAAGGGAGGGTTGCGGGCCGCCACCCCAAAAGTTGGGTGGGCCACAAGCAATCCCCAGCTCCCAGGCATGTCACCCCTGCAAGGGGCGCCATAAGCTGGCCAGCTAGAGAGTGGCAGGCAGGCTGACCGAGGCCTGCAGACGTAGGCACGAGGTTTCCGGAAAATAAACGTGAGCTCTGGCTTCTGAGGTAACCATGCTGGTACTGCGCGGGTGCTGCAGTGGGGCCTCAACCCCGTCGGGCACCCCCTCCAGCCTGCCACACCCAACTCCAAGAGCTGTAAAGCCCGAGCTGGCTGCAGCCACTCCACCAGCTCTCAGGCTTGCTGCTGCTGGCAGTGGAGTCCCCAGCGAAAGCCCTGCCCCGAGGGCCTCGGCCAGCTGCGGGGGTGCCCCATAGCCGTGTGGCCTGGATGGCAGCTGCAGGCTGAAGCCCCACCGGGCGGGAAACTGGCCCTTGTGGAGGGAGGGGCCCAGTCGCCCAAGGCAGAGGATGGGGGGGACATCGAGCGCCCAGCCCTGGGCAGCTTGAGGCTTAGGACTCTTCGGTGTTGCTCCAACCTGGGCTGCTGAGGACCCACTTTGTGTCCGGCTTCCCTGGGGTTCCCCGTGTCAGCCCTTCCTGGAGCACAGCGTGGCGGGGAGCAAGTCCTCGCTGACCCTCTGTCACCTGCTGGGCGGGGCTGGCCAGAGGGACGAGGACCACAGAAGGGTGCTGACGACCGTGAGGGCACGCCGGGGGGAGGGGGCGGTGAAGAGGGTGGAATGGTGGCTGAGAAGTGACCCTGCGGGACTGTGGGCGGCGGGACCGGGTGCGAGGGTGTCCCGTGGGGGGCCTGTAGTGCTTCCCATATGCCCCGCTGCCTGTCTCGCACCAGCTGCCCCGGGGTCCCCGAAGCCTGGGAACGAGGGCCCTGGATCAGTTCTTTTCTCCTGCGTAGGAGCCCCCCACCCTCCTCAGACCAGGGGGCCAGGGCCTAGCATATTCCACAGCTTGGCCACACAGAGCAGCAGCCCCTGCGTGGCTTTGTAGTGGCCATGCCACGCAGCCTCATGCACAGCTGTGTCCCCTTCCTTTGGGGAAACGGGGCTCCTCCTCCTGACACCCCCCTCCCCGCCCCTGCTGCAGGGTCCAGTGGGCACGAGTGGTCGCCGAGCTCAGGCTCCCTGAGTCCCCATCCCCTGGTGGAGCCGACCCAAACCAAACAGCAAGCACCTGCCTCATCCTGGGCATCAGTGTGGGTCCACATGCGACGATGCTCCAGGCAGTCACAGTGTCTCGTGTGCACAGCCATGTGCGGGGGGGTGCTCCAGATCTAAGGGGTGAGAATTCCTGTCACCCCCCCCCCAGGGGGAGGCCACCTTGCAACACCAAGGGGCTGTGCTTTCTCTTCCCTGGGAACAGGCCACCCCGCAGCAGCGCATTCCGCACCCTGTCGCAGGCGTTGACCTGGGCTCCCTGGTTAAGCAGCTGTTTGAGGATGTCCAGGTGTCGTCCACAGCAGGCCCAGAACACCGGCGTCCTGTCCAGCCACCAAACAAAAGCACCGACGCACAGACACGCTCTGGTGCGGACGGGGTCTGCCATGATGGTGGGTCCTCCCCGGTTCTCACCAAGTCGCAAGCGTCCACAGTGGCACCTGCCTCCACCAGCTTGGTCACGAGCTGGCCATGACCCTTCGGACAGGCCCAGTGCAAGGTGGCGTGGTGCAGCTGGGGGTGGAGACGGGACATCAGGCAGAGGGAGTATGGCCACCCCCTAGAGGCCCGGCCCTGGGTCCTACTCCCAGGACTAGGTTCCCCAAATGCACACACCAGCTCCCTGCTTGCACTGAGGGCCCCTCCCTCCCAGCTCCAGAAAGGCCCAGTTTCCCAGGCCAGGACTGGAACACACGGGGGATAGCACCCCTGCAGCTCTGACATTGTAGTCCGAGTCCCCCCACTTGCTACCTTGTCATGGGCACTGGGGTCCCTTCCATCTATCAGGTACTTGCCAATCAGGGCCTCCTGGCTCTCGGCGGCTGCCTTCAGGAGCATCTCCAGGTCCACAGACTCCAGCTGGGCCTGGGGCTGCGGCTGGGTAGGTTATAGGACCAGACCAAATCACTTTCGCAAACCTCGGTCTTCACCAGTCTAGCCTAGCAGCTCCCAAGAGCTGGCTGAGGACTACATGTTGGTTGGTGGCTGGTCCAAACCGTAATTCTTAACTCCCTTCCCCCCCAGATTTGGACCGACGGGGCACCTATTACACCCATTATGGGTTGCTGTGCTCCCTCCCCCCAAGTTTATATGTTGAAGTCCCAACCCCAGGACCTCAGAATGTGGCCTTATTTGGAAATAGGGTCATTGCGGCTGTAATTAAGATGAAGTCACACTGGAGTAAAGTGGGCCCTAATCCAATGACTGGTGTCCTTAATGAAAGGGGACATGTGGGCACAGCGGGCACAGTGTGAGTGCCATGTGAACTCAGGCAGAGATCAGGGTGAGGCACCCACAAGCCGAGGAACACCAAAGCTAGCCACCAAGCACCAAAAGCTAGAAGACTGGCGGGGACAGATTCTCTCCCACAGCCGTCAGACTTTGATCTCAGACTTACAGCCTCTAGAACTGGGAGAATAAATCTCTGTTGTTGAAGCCACTGCGTGTGTGGTCCCCAGCAAACAGAAGGGCTGTGGGGCCTCCAGAACGGAGTCTGTCCAGCTCAGCAGGCCCTGGCGGTGTCCACTCTTCCCCAAGCCCTCCCGCAGGGACAGGAAGTGCTTCCTTACAAACTCAAGCCCCAGGTGTTCACCCCCCCACCCCATCCCGACTTCTCACCTTAACCATGGGCTCACGTGCCCTAGGGGGGACTCTGCATTTCAGTCACCTCTCTCCCCATCTTTGAACCGTTCTCCAAGTCAGCCAGAGTCTCCAGATTCAGTCTGGAGCTGTTAAATCTCTCAAGCTGGGGCACAAGAGCAGACCAGTGGTCGGCCATAGGGCGCCAAGGCCTCAGGGACAGGCTCCGGGTTGGTCTGGCCCTCGCCTCTCCCGCCCACAGGAGGGACCCCAGCCACCCGAGGTCCTTGGGGCTCAGAGCCTGCCTGCCTCGAGGTTGGCACCTGCCACCCCCCCATCCCCAGCACTGCTTTCTTCTCTTCTCCCAGTTTCCACCGCTCCTGGGCCACGGCCTCTTGGGGTCCCAGCCTCCAGACCCCAGGCCCGCCTCCAGGATCAGGAACGCCATGTCCACATCCCGACACTTTCCAACTCTGTCTCCACATACCTGTAGGAGCGGGATAAGGACAAAGACTCAGAAAAATGAGGAAGCCTTAGGAAACACAGCTGTGCAGTACAGGGATCCTGACAAGAGCTGACCTACAGAGATAGCGTTGATGTGAGAGTGGCCTGACCTTGGCGATGCTTCCTGGCGCTCTGCTGGCATGCTCCCTGATGCCCATGGCTCTTGGCTCTCACCCACTGTAGTGTTGCCCAGGGCCCGGGAGGATAACTGCTGCCTACCATGTCCTGTCTCAGGACATAGGGTCGGGGGCATGACACCATGTCTATTTATACTGCTGGGCTTGTGTCCAGGTACGCTCAGAACAGGTGACACCTCAGCTTCCCTCCTGGGCTGTCGTCCTTACATTCCTATCAGATCATGCCATACTGCCACCTGACCCCGAGCTCAGAGGAACAGAGATGCCTCCTGGGTAAAATTCTGAATTCCTGGGTTCAAATCTTGGCTCTTGTGAAACCGTTTCTTCATCACTAGAATGGGATAAAACTAGCACCTAGCTCAAGGGGCTGTGAGGAGGAAACCGGGGCAGAACCCACCATACAGTGATCTGCTCTTCCTTCCTGCCCCCACCAGGGTTCAGGAGCTGGGAAGCACTGAGGAATAAGCACCCTAGGGGAGAGGGAAAAAGTTGGGATGATAGGATGGTAGAGCCTAGGGCTTCCAGCCAGAGAACGAATGAACTGTGTTCTCTTCTAAAGCCAACGCCGGCAACCTAACACTCCTCTGGGCCTGCAAGCTGCCCCCCTACCCCCCGCCGAGAGGCTGCAGCGGGCAGGGTCACAGTGGGGCTTGCTGGGCAGCCCCACTCCCGGGCCCCCCGGGCCCCACCTCACCAAAGCGTCACCGGTGTGACCGTTCCTCTCACTGACCAGGGAACTCAAGAGCACCCTTCTTCCTCCCCAACCAAGGCAGCCAGACCCTCTGGACCATTTCCAGAGCAATGGCTATGGCAGCAGCTGAGCTCAACCCACGCCGCAGCTACGCTCGTGTGTTCTGAAGTAGCCTCTGTTTCCTGTTTTGCCATCGCAGTCCAGGGGAAGACTCCCTAAACTCGAGGGTTCTCACGTCTACACCATCACCCAGTATCTTCCTGTTGCTTCGTCTGTCACCACCTCACAGAACTGGACAGAAAACAACTGCCTGTTTCTGCTCCTGCACCTAATCCTCCGACCACAGGAAGCAGCCGCCTGCCCTCCTCCAGCCGGACCTCCTCGTTCTGCTGGGCTGGCCTGGGGACGTCTAGACCATGACCTGCCTCCCACCCCCGCCGCCGCGTGTCCTTACCAACTGCTGGATGCTGAGGACGTCCATGGTCCCCCCCTGCTCTTCACGCCCCCAGCGAGAGGAGCTGAGCTGCTCAGCCCTTTTACAGGAGGGCTGGCTCCTGGGGGCAGGGCAGGCCAGGGGCTTGTGCCCGGGCCAGATAGTTCAGCAGTTCTGTAACGCTGACCAAAATACCAGTGTGGGCGTGCAGCCCGCTGAAGGCAGGAGCCGCTTTGAGCTGCGTCAGGTGCAGCCTCAGACACCCACTCTCCTGCACCTGTGTCATCCCCTACACCTGCTCAGGAGTAATTCGACCAATAAATGTGTGGCCGGGGGTGCCTGGGCCACTAGAAAAAAGTCGAGCATGAACCTCCATGTTGCCACAGGTCTAGGTGCCTGAGACCCTGAAAGACCCAGCCAGCCTGTTCTAACCAAAGGAAGCCAGAATCCTAGAGAGGACCTCGGGAAGGAAAGGCCCAAGAGGCTGATGTCTGCGGCAGGAATCCGCATGGCACCTACAGGAGATCAGGCTTCAAGCAACTTCCCCACTCCCAGCTTCAAGGCTGCCCTCCATACTTTTGCTTTCCTTGCCCAGGCGCCCCCCACTTCTCCCTCACCACTCCGAGAGCCAGCGTATTAAACTACACCACGGCCAGGAGCCAAGTCCAGCCTGTCATCAGCAGCCCCTGCCTCTTGAAAAGCCTTCCATGCCCCACACATGCAGGTCCCTACCTGATGCTCTCCTGGGCAGGGAGCGTGCCATCCCACAGAGAAGCTGGACTGAGATCCTCTCCGGGTCCAAGTACGGAATGTTAGCCATTAATCTAGTCACAAATCAACCTGTCTCAAGCCACCAAAGTCAAACTTCCTCATTTAAGATGCCCAGCATGCCCTTCACCCAACTGGGCCTTGAATTTCTGCCTTGACCTTTGAAAGGAAATCTGATAGTAAATAAGGCTCCCGAACTGGAACTATATGAGCAGGGCTGACCAGAGCAAGAGGGATGGAGAACTGCAGGTCAAGGACAGCCCAAGGCCCCAAAGGCTGGGAATGGTTCCACCCACAGCTGGCTTCTCAGTAAGTACATCCAAGTTCTGAGACTTAGGGAACCCAGAGCTTTTAAAAGAAACTCAGTCCTTATGTGTCAGGGGTTTTTGTCAAAGGTGATTTCTTGCCTTTGGTTATGAAAAGGGAGAGCAGCCTAGACTAGAGTGAGGGTAAGACAAGACAGACTTTGGCTTTGGTCTCTATCTGCCGACTCTAAAACTCTTCTTCAACATTCAAGGACAAGGGCATCTTACACCAACACGCTTCATCTGAAATTCTCACCAGAAAACTAGTTTCTTCCACAGGAAATTGGTATTAATTCTTACAAAAAATTACTCCTTGTAAAAAACTGAAACATAACCAATAAAGCTCAAGATGCACTTGACAAACCACTCTCACCACAGCAGACCAAGGGACACCCCAGGTACCAGTGTAATATATATCGACCTTTTTCCTGTAATTTTGTGTACGTACATACAGGTTTCCATAGACAGGTCTTAAGAGGCATCATACTGTGACTGCACCTCAGCACACTTTCCATGTTAGTCTCACACTGCACTCCAATGACACATGTACCAGAATTTAATCCTTTCCCTAGCAGGGAGCACCTAGCTTACCTCCTTTCTTCCTTACATTATAGCACAACTCTGTAGATGTCTGTGTAAGTAAATTATCTTTGTATACGTGGGTATTTCTCTAGGTAGCTACAGAGAAATCAAATTATTGGCCCTCATCTAAATTTTAATAGATATTCCCAAACCCCCATCTACAGTGGGTATACCAATTTCCATGAACAGATACCAACAAAGTGATGGTAAAAAAATATATATATATATACACATATATAAACAAGATTAATATCCAGAATACATAACTCCTATGAATCAATAAAAGGAAGAAAATCTTTAAACAGGCCATAGTTATGGACAGGAAGTTCAGCGAAGACAGGCAGTCTATCAGGTTGTTAAAACGAAAGGTGAGGAAGTGTGCGCTCTGACAGTCTGTAGCATGCCTGGCACACTCTGGTGCCCTCCATATATTCGCTCATTTAACCTCCGCAAGGCCACCGAAGCAGGCCATTATAATCATCCTCACCTCACAGATGAGGAAGCAGGGACAGACGGGCAAAGTGACCTTTCCCAAGGGCATTCAGCTAGAAAGCAGCTTTTAATTTGTCATATGTCCCAGTTTCTTCTAATACTTACGTAGTTCTGTTTTTATACTTAGGTCTTTAATCTACTTGAAATTTATTTTTGTGCATGGGATGAGGTAAGGCTACAACTTTATTTTTTCCAAACGGATAAATGTTTCCACATGAACTAATTTAGAATATGATCATCTCTCCAGGCTTAAGCACTTGCAGCCCCACATCTACTCCCTCGCTCCCAGAGTGGCCAGAATAGGGCTCTTCAGGCCTCAGGTTCCCACCCTGCAGCACAGATGCTGGCCAAGGCAGGGGCTAAGGAGGGCTAGTCTGGGTCCTCTTGCAAGGCAGCCTGAGACAGAAAGAAAGGTGGTGGCTCAGGTGGCCAGCAGGTCCCGCAGGTCACTGTCGCAGGGCAGCAGGTCACATGCTAGTCGTGCCTTCCGATCCCGGACAGCCTTCAGGGCTGGGCTGTGTTCCAACAGCAGGGAGCAAATGTCCACATGACCCTTCTCAGCCGCCTGTGGAGAAAGATGCCCGAATCAAAAGCCATATCCCCACTGGGCTCTACCCTTTCTTGCTCCACTTCGGGGAATCTCTTGGTCCTAAAACAGGTCTTATGGAAATGGGAGACACCGGCTATTTGAGTAGATTTCCCCTAATTCCTACCAAATCCCAACAACTTGCATAAAGGTTGGTGGAATTCTCTAGTGCCATTCCTGGCAGTTAGCTTGAGTTTTTCTTTCTGGTGTTCTCTGCTCAGTAGCCATTCTTCTCTGTCCAGGCCTGCACATTAAAAATAAATACAGACGGGCACCTGGCTGGCTCAGTTGATGGAGCATGCGACTCTTGGTCTCGGGATTGTGAGTTCAAGTCCCACGTTGGGTATAGAGATTACTTAAAAATAAAATCTTTAAACAAAAACAAATATAAAACCTTGGATCTCTAAGTGTCTTTTATAAATGTTCAGTCATCTATCAGCTGGGCACCGTAGGCACAAGATACACCAGACACGGCCTCTGCCCTCTGGGAACGTACAGATGAGCAGAGAAAAATGGGTCCAGGTTCCCAGCTTTCTCCTCTTCCTTTGAAATAGACGATCCCAACCTGGACGTCAATTTTTAACCTACCTCCTCCAGAAAAAAGTGTTAAGGTGATTTACACAGATTAGCTTATATAACTTTCATGATAACCATAAGAGGTAGGAACTATCATCATTCCCACTTTACAGATGAAGAAACTGAGGCTCATACAAGGTAAGTGACTTAATCCAACGTCACAGTGCTGGTGTGGGAGCCTGGGGGATCTTAAAGCAGGTCTGACTGCCAAGTCTCAACTCTTAACAACCGTGTTACAGCACTCTATTCCCTGCTCTTCCCAACAGTCACTGATGTACCACGGGGCTTTTGAGAGGTGTCAATATTAGTAGTAAATACCACCTCAAATTTGAATCCAGATCTTTATTTAGGAGGTCCTCTTGATGAGTACAGACCTAAGGTTCTCAGTTTTGTTGCCTCAATTCAGGCAGTGGTATGTTGTGAGCAGTTCTGGGGTGCATTCTGGGGAGATGTGAAATGCACTCCAAAGAATTTTGTAGGAAAAAAAGTACCAAAGTTTGCAAGTAGCTTATTTGTTAAAAAAGAAAGAACAATTCCTAACTCTTCCCATAAAGGCATCCCCTGAAGGCTGGAGACGCATTGAAAAAGCCTCAGGCTGTAAGACCAGCCAGCACCATGCGCGCAGTGTCCTGCCGTACACACCCTCCAAGGGAGTTACACCGTCCGAGCAACACCAGTGTAGACCATCAAGGAATAAGCAATCTGCCTCTTCAACTGGCAAGGATCTTAAAAAAATAAAACGCCATCCAGTTGTTCACTAAGCAAATATTCACTGGGCACCTGTGCTAAGAGCTGGGGCTACCACAGTAAACAAGATCAAGTCTTCGCTGTCTCTGGGGAGAGAGAGCTCAGATGGAATTTAGGAGGGAGAAAAGTTATGAGGAGTCAAGTGCAGGGTGCTTTTGCACGCACAGTTGAGGGAGCTACCCACGTCTGAGAACAGGAAAGCTCTCTGAGAGTGTGATGTAGAAGCTAAGATCCAGAACGAAGGACAGAAACAAGCCAGATGAAAACCGGGAGAGGAGAGGCATCGAGCTGGGGATAGCTTGACAGGTAAGGTCCTGGAGTGTCACCATGACAGGTCAAGAAAGGGGGCCTGAGGGGGCGCCTGGGTGGCTCAGTCGTTAAGCGTCTGCCTGCGGCGCAGGTCGTGATCCCAGGGTTCTGGGATCGAGCCCCGCATCGGGCTCCCTGCTCGGCAGGAAGCCTGCTTCTCCCTCTCCCACTCCCCCTGCTTGTGTTCCCTCTCTCGCTGTGTCTCTGTCAGATACATAAATAAAATCTTAAAAAAAAAAAGAGAGAGAAAGAAAGGGGGCCTGAGTGTAAGTGACAAGGGGATGAGAGCTCAAGATGGTGGCACCTGGCTGGTTCAGTCGGAAGAGCATGAAAGTCTTGATCTCGAGTGGTGAGTTTGAGCCTCATGCTGGGCATAGAGATGACTTAAGAGAAAGAAAAGGAAAGGAAAAGAGAAAAAAGAAAAGAAAAAAAGAGAAAAAAGAAACTGGAGGAGGGAAATGTTGACATCTTCCCTTGAGTGCACGCCAAGGGTAATATCATCTGCAAATCCTTGGACAATGAAATACTCGCATCTGGCTTCCTAAAAATTAAGTTGGTCCTTGAAACAGCCCCCCACCCAATTTTTTATTATGGTAAGAACACTTCACATGAGATCTGACTTCTTAACAAATCTATTTTTTTTTATAATTTTTTGGTAATTGTTTTTTGTTAAAGGATAGCCACCCCCCGCCATCCACGCCCAACGCAGGGCTGAGATCACAAGTCCCACGCTCTACCGACTGAGCCAGCCAGGCGCGCCCCCTTCTTGACAAACTTAAAGTTTGTTAAGCACGGTCAGCTGCAGATCTGCTGCGCTTCATCAGCTCCCCTCAGGGATGCTGTGCCAGCTCAACAGCACCCCCGGCCACTGCCCCGGCAACCACCATCCCACTCTCTGCTTCTGTGTCTGACTATTTTCTACACAGGCACACCTCATTCTGTTGCACTTTGCTTTACCGCGCTATGCAGATACTGTGTTTCTACAAAGTGAAGATCTGTGGCAATGCCGCACCGAGCAGGTCTACTGGTGCCATTTTCCAACAGCATTTGCTCACTTCGTATCTCTGTGCCACATTTTTGTAATTCCTGAACTACTTCAAACTTTTTCGTCGTTACTGTATTTGTCGTCTGTGGTCACTGATCTCTGATGTTACTACTCTATTTTGGGATGCCTGAACTGCACCGATACAAGACAGAGGAGCCCATCGATAATGCGTGGGTCTGACTGCTACCCCAGTCTCTCTCGGCCTTGTGCCTCCCTACTCCCTGAACGACGATACTGAAAGCCAGTTGACAGCCCTGCACTGGCCTCTCAGCACTCCAGTAAAAGGAAGAGTCAATCAATGTGGCAAAGCCCATTGCTGTCTTACTTCAAGAACCAGTGTGCCACAGCAGTTTCTTAAACCTTCAGCAACCACTACCCTGACCTCCCTGATACGCTGAGCAGTTATCCACCTCGAGCTAAGACCCTCTACCAGTTAAAAGATTGCAACTTGCTGAAGGGTCAGATGATGGCTAGCATCTGTTAGCAATAAAGTATTTTTAAATTAAGTTTCATACATGATTCTTTTGGACATAATGCTAGTGTACACTAAATAGCCTACAGTATAAACATAACTTTTATGTGTCCTGGGAAACCAAACTTGTCTGACTTGCTTTATGACGGTGGCCTGCGTATCTCAGAGGCGTGCCTCATATAAGGTGTATCATGAAGTATAAAAAACAAAACCAAATCCTGCTATATATATATTTTTTTTAAGATTTTATTTATTTGACAGAGACAGAGAGAGCAGGAACACAACCAGGGGCATGGGAGAGGGAGAAGCAGGCTTCCCGCAGAGCAGGGAGCCCGATGTGGGACTCGATCCCAGGACCCTGGGATCATGACCTGAGTCGAAGGCAGCCGCTTAACGACTGAGCCACCCAGGCACCCTGTATTTTTTTTAATATATCTACTAGTGTCTCTACCAAAGTGTTACCCCCACCCCCACCATACATTAAAAAATAATGATTATAACGTGTTATTCAACAGTCAGGTGTACAAAATAAAAACAAGAACTCTATCTTTGTGGCCGTAACATTTCAAGGCTGCTGTCGCTAAGCAAGCACCTTTCTGTCCTACCATGTTTCTGAAGTCCAGGTTGCTTGCTGGGGAATCTGCCAATCCCTAGGTGTCTCTGTTACGGGCTGGGGCGATGGAGTAGAGTGTGCGGAGTAGGAACACTGGCTCCTAAAAGCTCTCCTCCTGGAAAAAAAGCTCGTCAGTGTGTCTTGTCTTCTAGTGGCTGAGAACTCGCCACGCTAGGGAGCGGAACATAGTCTGTGATTGTAGAGCCCCGTCTGAGAGACAGGTCTCTAGTATGAAAGAGCGAGCACAAATTTTTGGTGGACAGCAAAAAGTGTCTGCCACAGGCTCTCACGGTAAGTCATGCAGTCAACTTACATTTTTCTATTTTAAAGTTCATAAAAGAATACATTTACACACGCATGCAATAAATATGCATAAACCACTTCTCTAAAATGCATAAGCAATCAGTAAAAGTGATGCCTTGAGCAGGGTGTCCCAGAAGACTGAGGGACCAGGGGTCAGGGTGGAAGGGAGACATTTTCATGCTGCACTGTTTTGTACTCCTCAAACTCTTCACCACGTGTGGGTATTTCTGGTCAGCAGAAAGTGAATGAAGTGGTCACCCTGGCTACCGTACGGCAAGCAGGCTACAGGGGTAGGCGAGAGTAGATGTGAGCTTCAGAAAACTAACTTCACGGAAAAGCATTCATGACATATCATGAAAGCGAAGAAAAAAAAATGACACCGTATGTGTAATTCTAATTTACATGCCCAGGGAAAATGCTGGCACATTGGACATTAACCCTCAAATGATGACTGGTAAGCACGGACATTACAAGTGCTTCTCTGCTTTCCCCGTGTTTGCTCCACTGAACAAAAGCCAAGATCGTGAAGGGGGGAGGGCGACATACCTTGTGCAGACTGGTCATGCCATCGTCATCCACCAACCTAGGGTTGGACCCGTGAGACAGCAGGAGCCGTGCAATTTCAGTGTGCCCACAGTAGCTGGCCCGGTGCAGAGCGGTGGCGCCCCCGTGCGTTTGGGCGTCACACTTAGCCCCGCTCTCCAGCAGGAACTGGCACACGGCATAGTGCCCATTGCGGCTGGCATAGTGCTGCAGGGAACGGAGAGCGAGGTCAGACAGCAGAGCCCAGGCAGGCGGCAGGGCGGTGGGCGGGGGAGAGCGTGGGCTCTGGAGCAGGCTACAGGGTAGGCAAGAGGATGGTAATGACCTCAGGGGCCGCGTCCGTCAGCTGTGTGACCTGAACAAGCTGCTTCATTTCTAGCATCAGCTTCCTCAACAGCAAAGTGGGGATAATAATCATTCCTACCTCACAGGATGGTTAGGTAAACGAAATTATAAGTGATGTAAAGCACTTAACACTAATTAAGGAAAAAAACAAACCAAGAACAAGGTTCACACAATGCTTGTGTGTTTCTTCCACAAAACCTGCTGGGAGAGAACGGGCGGCAGCACAGGCAACGCCCCCCCCCACCGCCAGAGAGGGCAGGTACCCCGAGTGGGAGCCCCCTCCGCAGCTCACCAGAGCCGTGTAGCCAGCCGAGTCGGGCTGGCTAGGGTCTGCTGCCTTCTGGATGAAATATTTCACTCGGCCTAGGTCTCCATTCAGGGCTGCCGACCAGATTCCTGTGGAAAGACAACCAAAGTGCTGAATAATGCTGAATGACCGGAGACTTTCAGTGCTTCCTTGACTTCCTGACCACCATTTTCTCACCTATAAAATGGCGGATTTACTCATTCCACAAATATTAACTGAGGGGCTCCTGGGTGGCTCAGTCAGTTGCGAGCCTGACCCTTGGTTTGGGCACAGATCATGATCTCAGGGTCCTGGGAACAAGCCCCGAGTCAGACTCTGCGCTCAGCTTGAGATTCTCTCTCCCTCTGCCCCTCCCATAAATAAATACATACATACATAAATTAATTAATTAAACAAAATCTTTTAAAAAGTTAACTGAAATCTCTGTGCTAAGGACTGTCCTAGGAGCTGGTGAGAAAGCTGTGAGCAAGACGGACAAGGGGCTTTATCTAATCAAGGCAGTAGGGTTGGACAGACGCAAATCCCTTCTTCCCACTTCAAACACATAAATATTGAATAAAGTAATGTTTCAAATGTCTGAATACATAGGCAAATTCAAAAGCAAGATAAGGACATTGCCACTTGCCAGAGAAGATGAAAACCATAGCCAAAGTGGTGAGCAGGTACTCCATCTGCAGAAACCCCAAAGTCCTTGTAAATAGACACACATCTTAGAGGCTCCAGCTTGAACAACTAGGCAGAGTCTGGAGCAAAGGCCGCAGGGCATGTGCATGGCCAGGAACAGACACAACAAAGTTCTGCGCACAAAGCTGGGAGACAGGAAGTACCACCTCATGGGTGAACTGGGACTAGAAAATCTCTACTTTCCTGAATAGCAGCAGAAAGCAAGCTACGAGGCCCAGGCAGTTCACTCATTCAGCAAATATTTACTGAATACCTATCATGTATCTGGCACTGTTCTGCGCACTAGAGGCCAGCCCAGAATTAAAGGTCCCCAATCCCCAGGGCTGCCCCCAAAGCTTTGGTCTTATGGAGGTTACTTTCTAATTAAAGGAAACAGATGAGGAAAAAAAAAAATGAGAGAAATCAGGTGGTGCTAAGGGCTATGAAGAAAAAGAAAACAGAGAAGGGATACAAGCAGTGGTCAAGGATGGCATCTCTGATAAGGTGACATCTGAAGAGAAACTTGAAATGAGAAAGGCACCATTTCAAGAGGTGTGAGAAGACAGCAAGGGCAGAAGAAACTTGGAGATGTTATATGTATACATATATATGTATATTTATTTATTTTTGCATTTTTCCCATCATGTAAACTTCATTAACTGTATGATATCTTTTCCAGCTTTATGGAGAAATAGTTGACATACATCACTGTATAAGGGGACCTGTATCTTTTTATAGCCTCAGGGAGCAAAACCCCCAAGCTAAGGATCTGTCATAAAAATGGATCCAGACAAGTGAATGCTATAAGGGCTGAGCAGAGGCAACTTTTAAAAAATGTCCCAGGGCGCCTGGGTGGCTCAGTCATTAAGCGTCTGCCTTCGGCTCAGGTCATGGTCTCAGGGTCCTGGGATCGAGTCCCACATCAGGCTCCCTGCTCCGCGGGAAGCCTGCTTCTCCCTCTCCCACTCCCCCTGCTTGTGTTCCTGCTCTCGCTGTCTCTGTCAAATAAATAAATAAAATCTTTAAAAAAATAAAAATAAAAATAAAAAATGTCCCATAAGGATACTTCCATAAGCCAACAAAGGTGTGGCTCTGTTGTGGATAATCTCTAACAAGAGAAGACACCCCCTGCCCCCCATGAGCTCAAAAATTAAAAGTTGCAAAGAAGTAATCCACTGCCACATGAGATAGCAAATACAACAAATGGACAAATGAATACTTCAAAAATGAGCCATAATAGCACAATCTGAAAGACTTTAAAACAACATTTAGTGTGTTCACAGAGATGAAGGAATACAATCCACAAATCAGCAGAACATTAGGGAGAAAAAAAAGAACAGGGAGATCTGAAACAAAGTCAGGGGTGCCTGACTGGCTCAGCCAGTAGAGCATGTGACTCTTGATCTCAGGGTCATGAGTTCAAGCCCCAGACTGGGTGTAGAGATTGCTTTTAAAAAAAAGTCAGTAGGTGCGCCTGGGTCAGTCATTGAGCGTCTGCCTTCAACTCAGGTCGTGATCCCAGGGTCCTGGGATCGAGCCCCACATCGGGCTCCCTGCTCAGCGGGAAGCCTGCTTCTCCCTCCCACTCCCTCTGCTTGTATTCCCTCTCTCACGGTCTCTCTCTCTCTCTCAAATAAATAAAATCTTTTAAAAATAAATTAAAAGTCAGTAAATTAAAAAATAGAATCATTGAACTAAAACAACAACAACAGATGGCTGGACAGTACTGCAGACCCACCCGGGAGGGAATGAATGACTTGGAAATCACCCAGAATGCAGAATGGTAAAGAGAAAAATATTAAAGAGAGGTAAGGAAACATGAAAGGCAGAATGTACCAACATGTCTAATAGGAGTTTCAAACAAAAAAAAGAGAGAAACTGGACAGAATGGGAGAGAGGAAATGCCTGAAGAGATAACGTCTGAGAATTATTCTGAAGTAAAGACAACAATGAGTTCTCAGATGAAAACCACATTAAATCCCAAGGAGAATTAATCAAAACATATCTACCATGGTAAAATGACCAGGCCTCAAGAATAAAGAGAACATTTAAGTTACCAAAAAGAAAAGATCATTGGGCGCCTGGGTGGCTCAGTTGGTTAAGCGACTGCCTTCGGCTCGGGTCATGGTCCTGGAGTCCCAGGATCGAGTCCCGCATCAGGCTCCCTGCTCGGCGGGGAGTCAGCTTCTCCCTCTGACCCTCTTCCCTCTCATGCTATCTCTCATTCTCTCTCTCTCAAATAAATAAATAAAATCTTTAAAAAAAAAAAAAGAAAAGATCATTAGTCACTGAAGAATTATAATCAGATTATCAGGATTTTAAGTTTATTTATTTATTTTTTAGTGATCTCTACACCCAACGTGGGGCTTGAACTAATGACCTCGAGATCACGAGTCACTCGCTCTTCTGAATGAACCACCCAGGCGCTCCCAGCAGAATTCTTAACAGCAGTAGCAGAAAAAGAAGATAAATACTATTTTCAAAGGTTTGAGGGGGGTAAAATAATTGTCAGTCTAGAATTTTATACCCGGCTAAGCTACCAGTCAAGACAGAGAAAGAGAGAGAGGGAGATGAAGAATCATACTCACTGAAAAAACTTTTAAAAGCTATACTTCAGGAAAAGGGAAAATGAACCCAGAGAGGAGATATGAAAAAAACAACAAACCCACATAAGGATCTTTCCCACGTGTGGGAAATGAGTAAGCAAACAAAATAATATCAGGTTGTAAAAACTGCTTTGATGAAAGCAAGGTGATATATCAGAGTAACCTGGAGTGGAAGGGACCCTACTTTGGACAGGGCAAGGTTTCTTTCTTAACAGCTGCACAACTGGCACTGTAGGCCAGTTAATTCTTGGTTATGAGGAATGGTCCTGTGCATTGTGGGATGTAGACTAGCATCTTTGGCCTCTACCTACTAGATGACTGTAGCATCCTCCCAGGTGTAACACCTGAAATTGCTTCTAGACATTGCCAAAGACCCTTAAGGATCGGAACTGCAACTGCCCCCACCCAGCTGAGAACTACTAGAATGGGGTGTTTCCCACCCCCCACCCCCAGTTGAAAACTACCAGAATGCAGTGTTCAGGGTGAGGCTCTCTGAGGAGGTGACATTTGAGCCAAGACCAGAAGAAAAGCATTAGCTAGCCTAATGCTGCAGTAAGTTCATTGCAAGGAGCTGGGACAGCAAGTACCACGGCTTTAAGTCAGAAAGAGATCTTGCATGTCTGTGAAACCAAAACGAGCCCAGTGTGGCTGAAGCATAGAGCGGGGGAAGAAAAGGATGAGAAAGTGGGAGCGGAGAAGAATAGGCAACGATTAGGTCACACAGTTTTGTAGGCCACGAAGGGAATTTGAACTTACTCTAAAAGCAATGAAATTATCTGGTTTAATATATTCAAACGGTTACTCTGGCTTCTGTGTGGAGTAGAAAACTTTGTAGGAGGGCAGGAAGGCCATGAGGGAATTGCTTCAGAAGCCCAGAGGGTGGCGACGTGGAGGGAGGTAAGCAGATGCAAGAGCTGCTTAACAGTAAATCAGAATGCGTAAAAAGCCATAGCATCCACCCAACAGCTGATGAGAATGTTACTACTGCATAAACTGCCTCTGCACTGACAGGTGATACACGGCCTCCGAGGAAGAGCGGACTTGTTTTTCAGCTTTACTCTATTCCTTACAGGCGATATAATCTCCTTACAGCGTGGGGTAAGAGAGTTACCTCTCTGGGCCCCAAAGGTGGAGATATCCCCTGCGTCGAGCGCCATGTGTGCAGTATCTAAACCATACAGGGCCTGACACATCGGGGCTCACATCGGAGGTCAGAACGTTAGTTCCCTTCGCAGCGCAGCCCTCCCTCTGAAGCTGCCCTCGGGGTGGCTGCAATACCCCGGCTGCAGATTCTGATTCCCGACCCCCGCCCGGCCACCCGAGAGGGCCCAAGCCTCCCGTGGGCGCACCAGCTGAGAAGCCCGGCCGACCACTTGGGAAAGTTACCGAAACGAGGGCCTCCGTTTCCCAACCTGCACGCGAGACGAAGTTTCTAGAGGCCGAGCTCGTGCCAGGTCCCTGGTGGGATCTCAATGACGCGGGGGCTATAAGCCCACCGTCCGCCCGCGCTCCCACCAGGCCCACTGCGGCCCTCGGGGCCCCGCTTCTCGGCCATCTCCTTGTTCCGCGATCTGGAGAAAGCCGGGAGTCTCACCCCTGTCGAAGTCCATCTCGTCCAGCGTTTGCTGCACGCCGGACGCCGCACCCGTCCAGGAGCAGCAAGGGCCGTCCGCGCAGGGTCGCGGCGCCGCCATGTCTGCCCCGGAGCCCCGTCGGCCCCGGAGCCCCCTCCGCCCCGGCTGTTGTGCGCACGCGCGACCGCGACGGGTGGGTGGGGCGGGGCGAGGCGGGGCGGACGCAGCAGCGCCAGTGCCAGAGCCCAGCCGCGCCAGTAGTTCGGGAACCAATCGAGGCGGCGGGGCGGGGTTTGTGGCGGGGCACCGCGCTCCGAGGCGGCCGCGCGAGGGCGTCCCAGGCTAAGCAGAGTGCGGAGGGCGCTGCGCAGGATGCCCAGATCCGCACTGCAGGCGGATGGCGCCCGGGCCGCCGGCCTTGTAGGGCGTGTGGAGCCCTGTAGGGTTTGGGGACGCAGCGGGCCGCTCGGCCGCCCGCCAGAGCCCAGCCCTCCAAGGTTCCCTGCGTCCCACCGGTTTCCCTAGGGCAGGGAGTCGCCGGGCGCGCCCCAAGGCCCTCCGCCCCGTCTTTCCGCACCACCCCGGGCCCAGTGACCTCGCTTCCCCTTTCCACCTCCCGTGCCTCCTGCCCATTTCCTGAAAACCCGTGGGAGGCAGGTGGCCACAACTTTTGCCACTAGGAGCACATAAGCCCCAAGGGCAAGTACAAGGGCCTTGGGTTGTGCGGAACTCGCCAACTCCAGTGGGAGCCTACTTTACCGTATCTATCTTCATATAGCAAGACATCCTAGGGCCTGAGGTTTACTGACCATGATGGAAGCTTAGTGTACCCAGAAGTCAGCAGATCACAGCCCTTTCCTACAGCTAAGGACACCCAGGGCAGCAGCCCCTTTCAGCCACCGCAAGGCCCTCCGGACCAGTCAAATGTAGGGAGCCCGTTTCACGACTGCCTCCATCTGTGGACATGAATCCAGGCTGGGTCTTCCCTTCCTTACAAGTATCTGGGTCCTCCCTGTGCCCACTCCTCCCATAGGACAGTGGCTTGGTGCACACTGGGTGGTGGTGGGGCAGGTTCCATGTTCTACATCGCTGAAGCATTCGAGGCGAATATTCCTGGAGGGTAGGCAGAAGGCTGGAAGTAAACTTTCCTCCTCTAGGCTAGATGGGAACATCCTCACACAAGCCGGTACATACAACCTGAAGCTCTTTCTAATAAGTTCCCCTCCTTTACCCCTCTCTCCCACTTCCCTTCCCAGAACTCTGGGAAGCCGGGCCCCTCCTCTCCGGCCTTGCTCCCAATGCCCTAACTTCTCCTTTTGGCCAGAAGCCAAAGCTGCCAGCTGCCTTCCAAGAGCCTGTGGCCCTGGTCTGCTTCCAGCCCCACAGCTACCACTGTGGGGAAACACTGGAGTCTGGGCTATCCCCCCTCTGGAGAGGGGCACAAGCAGGCAGGGATAACATTAGGGGCAGCTGCCCCAGAACTACGGGGAGGCGAGGCTAGTCCTGCCCAGAAGGTTTTAGCCCAAATGCCTTATCCCTACCACAGTAACACTTAGCTGTTTTCTTGATTTTTATTTGTCAATATAAAAATACTCAAATATTTACAACAAATAAATACGCGGGGACACAATAAGTTACACTGTTAGGAACCCTCCTCCTAGGGCTGGGAGAGGATATGCAATATCCACAGCATGCCCACCCTCTCTCCTCCTCCCTCCCCCACCCCCCAACACAACCTTTCCCAGCCCGGTAAGGGAGGACAAGTATAAAATACCACTGAACCCCAGGGCCAAGTGGGAGGCCCCTCCCACCCTTGCCCCAAACACACAGGAGAATCCATCTCCCTCCCCCCACCCTGAAAACATTCACAGCCCTAGGAGCAGGACCAGGCCTACCCCAGAGCCCCGGACTCCCCAAAAGGGGCACAGCACCCTGCCCAGCCCACCCCCATATGTACATTGCTGACCCACGCTGGGGACTGGGTGGGGGTAGGAGAGGCAAAGTGATACGACCCCTTCCCCTTCATAGCTCCAATGACTCACCAGGAGGACCCCAGGCCAAAGGAAGACTCGGACAGAAAAAGGAAGACCTCTCTCACACACACACACACACACACACAAAGACTAGGTCACACACACGTGCACACAGACGTATAGATACAAACACACCCACATCTCCAACTTCTGCCTTGGGAAGTTTTGGCTGCTGGGGTCCCACGTGTCCGTGATTCACAGCCCCTCACAGAGAGGAGGAAGAGGCCTTCCGAGAGGCTGGTGCCCTGGGGAGCAGTGCCCGTGCTGAGCAGAGCAGGTCCTCATGGCCGGGCGGGTGCTGGCCAGGCTCTGTCCCAGGCCGAGCCGGTGCCCGCGCCATGTCCCTGAGGTAGCTGGTGCGTGTGCAAAAGGAGGAGCGGCGCCTCGCACGCTGCCCCTGCGAGGCAGGGGAGTGGGGTGGGGGATCCCCTCATACGGAGGACTCCTCGGGATTGGAGTCCGGCAGCGGCTGACGCTGCTGCAGCTTGCGCCTCAGCTCGTCTGCCAGCTCGGGCAGCGGGTGCCCGAGCCCGCCGCGGTCCTCCGCTCCCAGCTGTAAGCGCACGTAGCCATTGGCGTTTGAGTTCCGCCCACCCCCCAGGTGAAGCCGGGTCGGAGAAGGCAGGGGCTGGCCGGGGATGCCAGGAGCTGGGGAAGGGGGCCCGCCCCCGGGCTGGCACCGCGCGTGTCCAGGCACGATCTTGAGGGAGCCGTCCGAGTAGTAGTAGCCAACGGGATCCCAGAGTTTCTCATCAGTCTCCGGGCCGGGCCTGAAGGGGGGACTGGTGGGCTCCTTGGGCAGCTCCAGGGGGTACACCAGGGTCCTCTCCGCCGCCTTGGCACCTTTCTCCAGCTCCTCCCGCAGCCGCCGGCGCAGAGACAGAACCAGCAGCAGCAGGACCAGGCACACGGCCCCCAGGGCCACCACAGCCAGCCACACTAGCCCCAGGTTTTCCAAGGGCGCCCGAGCCTCCAAGGTCACCGACGGGCCCGCCACCACGGCCACCAGGTAGCCTTCGGCAGCCAGCCGCGCCCCCTGCTCCTCCGAAAAGCAGTGGTAGGCCCCGGCGTGGCGGGGCTGGGCAGCCATCACGACCAGGGCCTGCAGGCGGGCGTCATAGAGGAAGGAGCCGGGCTGTTCCGCAGGCAGGTCCCGGCCCCCGAAGGTCCAGCGGGCGTGGGCCAAGTTGGAAGAGAGGCGGCAGGGCAGCACCAGGTCCGTGCCCGCCACCACGGTGATGTTTTTGGGTGTGAGCCTGACTGCAGCAGTAGAAAAACAGGAGAGCCGAGTTAGCACGGGAAACCCAGGGCCACGCGGAGATGCGGCTAGTCCAGCTCTGGCCCAGGGCCCATCCTATCGGGGAAGAGGGAGGAAAAAAAAGACAGCTCACCTTTTTTATTGCCACGGAGGTTACAAATGCCTGAGGTGTCGGAGACCGTCACGTGCTGGATCAGCGAGGACCTGGTTGGGGAAGCAGGGTCCATGGGCACTGGGGCTCCAAACACCCTGCCCCTCACCCTTGTGCTGAGCCCCACTCACCCGAAGGGGCCATCCACGGCCACACAGCGGCTGGTGTTGACGCTCCAGGCACAGTAGGGGTCCCGAGCGAGGACGCAGTCTGCACAGGAGCGGTACTTCACGCAGTCGGCCAGGGGCAGCTGAACCAGCTGAGAGCGGGAGCCTGCAAAGAGAAGCTTCTGCAAGAGAAGCGGGGCAGAGGCGGCTCAGCCAGACTGGGACACGGACTGCGGCATGGGCGCAGGAGGGCAAGGGTGCCAGAGGAGGAAGAGGGCGGTGCTAAACTCCGAGGAGGGGAACGGAAGGACCAAAGAACGCCCAGAGGGCTTACTACAAGCCAGACACAATCCTAAGCACCTTCAAGATGTGACCTTCTTAGACAGGGAACAGTGGAACTACGGGGCTCAGAAATATAATCTCTCTCTTTCTCTCTCACACACACACACACACACACGCACACATTCTCCCGTACTGTGTAAATAGTGCAGGAAATGTGTGTTCCGCTAGGCCCGGCAGCCCTCACAATAGCACAAGCAAAGCATAAGGTGTTTTCCTCTGAATGGTGACTGCCAATCCGTGTGTTTCTTCAACCACGGACTTTCTTTCTGCCATTATTCCATGTTCTGGGCAACAATCTGAGCCACAATAGTTGGTCAAGGGCCAGCACATGAAAGTTCAGGGGAGTCACAGACAGGCCAGAAGAAGGGTAGGGTGCAAGCGGCACCTCAGGCAAACAGCGAAGGGAGTGCGGGGCCGGGACTGGACTGGGCCGGGCTGGACTAGGGGCCCAGTGGGAAAGCCAGCATCAGGAGGGCAGCTGAGCAGATGTAGCCCGAGAGGCCCGGTCCACGATGGTACCACTGGAGAGGCTGTACGTCACAGAGGCACAGCACGACCTCGAGGGGTCTGAAGGAAGCGTGGAGACCAGCTGCCAAGGCCTAGTTCTGGGAACACAGCCCCGTGGGGACCTGGCTATATATAACGCCTGCGGAGCGCAGAGTCCGTTAGCACGCTTGTTTCCTGGAACTCTCCCCAAGCTAAGTGAGGTGTGTTCGAGTGCCTCCCCACCCGTCCTGGCCAAGCAAAAGACTGTGGAAGGTGTAGGGACAGCCGTGGGTGGGGCCTGATTACTACCTTGCTCCGGGATAGGACCAAGCTTTCCACAGGCTCCTGGTCAAACACCTGCAGCTCCTCGATCAGGTGGACCCAGGGGCCCAGGCTCACGGCCTTGAGCAGCCAGCCGTCTCCTGGGGGGGTTGGGGGGAGGACAGGCATAAACGAGAGGGCACGGGGGCCCCTGGGGCATCTCTAGATCTCACTGCCCCGGACACACAGGCCTTTACCCAGCTTCCGGCAGCCACACCCGCCTCCCCAGGTGCCTACCTGTACCAATGAACAGCACTGTATAGGTGGCTCCGTCAAGCCCCATGACCCTGTCAGCCACCAGGTGGGTGAAGTTGGTGTCCTTCTTCACAAGCAGGGGCCGGCCCCACCGGGGCCCTACCTGCTCCTCCATCAGTGGGTGCTTCTTGATGAAGTTGAGGGTGTTATCAGGCAGCTCCAGAGAACTGGTGTAGCCATGGCGTCG